GGGTTTGACTCCATCTGGGGTCACGAGATGCCCTAAATAAGCTACTTCCTTTCGAAGAAATTCACACTTGTCAGGTTGGAGTTTGAGGTTTGCACCACGAAGGCGTTTGAAGACATCAGTTAACCTTTGTATATGTTCGTGTATGGTAGCGGAATAAACGATAATATCGTCCATGTAAACGAGACATCGTTCGTTTTGAAGACCTAAGAGAATGTTGTCCATGACACGTTGGAAAGTGGATGGAGAATTTTTTAGTCCGAAGGGTAAACGGAGAAATTCAAAATGACCATTTTCAACTGAAAATGCAGTTTTAGCAACGTCCTTGGGATCAATTTCAATTTGGTGAAACCCAGAGGCTAGGTCCAAAGTAGTGAAATATTGACATCTGCCTAACTGGTCTAAGAGATCGGAAATATTGGGAAGAGGGTATCTATCGTCGGCAGAGACTTCATTTAGTTTGCGATAGTCGATGACTACGCGCCATTTTTGTTTCATAGAAGCGTCTAATTTTTTTGGGACAACCCAAACAGGGGAAGACCATGGAGAAGTGGAAGGTCGAATGATTCCTTGTTCGAGCATTTTGTTGATTTGTGACTTTACTTCTTGTTTGTGGACATGTGGGTACCTATATGATTTGGTAAAAATCGGTCTGGCGTTGTTCGTTTCAATAGTATGTTTAATTTCATTAGTAAAACTTAAATGATCTCCTTCTAAATAGAATATATCAGAAAAATCAAGACATAATTGTGTTATTAATTCTTTTTCTTCTTCGTTTAAATGATCGGTGCGTAACTGGGATTGAATTATACCGCGCCTATCAACAGGTTGAGGATTTAAATTGAAGATATTATTTATTTCTTTTTCGTTAGGATTTGTATTAAAAGGTTCGATAGATAAATTTGAAAAATCTATAGTTTTTGGGATAGCATTAGCGTTAATAACAGTAGTAAAAAATTCACCTTTGTTATTTACTTTAACTAAAGCATTAGGTAACCTAACTTTTTCACATTCTTGAGAGTGGAGAATAGCGTCTGTGTTTGTTAAACTACATTTTAATTTGAAAATTCTTTCGGTCCTAGGTTCGATTGAAATTCGATTTTGAATATTTTGTTCAGGTTTTTTACAAATTTTGGGAAGAACAGATTCGTGTCCTACTTTATGCAAAGGCATTGTTTTGAAATTCGTTATAAGTTTTTTGGACTTTAAATCGATTATACATTGGTAGCGATCAAGAAAATCTAAACCGAGAATTCCGTCAAATTCGATATCAAGATCGTAAAGATATACTTTATGTTTGTCGTTATCGGTGAATGGAATAAGTGTGGATTCTTTAATAAAAAGTGTTTGATTTGTTATACCTTGGATGGTAATATTTTCCTTAACTCGTGTTCTGTAATTTTCAGCGGTTTTATATTTAAAGATAGAAATACCTGCGCCTGTATCTATTAATATTTTGAATTTTTGCGTAGCGTCAAAAATATAGTATAAATTTTTAGAATTTACCGTAAGAAGAGGGTTTAACAGAAGTTCTGTTCTGGAAAGTTTAGATTGGGATTCATGTTGTCTAAATTCAGGGTTTGAATTTGGGAATTGATTTCGAAAATCGGGTCTGGAGACATTTCGTCTGGTGGGATATCGTAAGGGCTTTCTTGAAAATCCTGTTCTGGTTCGCAGTTTTCTGGATGGTTAGAATAATGATTTTGAAGTTCATTATCTTCTTGAAGGGTGTAATTTTCATGTGAAAATTCCTGGGAATTTCCGGAATAACCGTCGATGTAGATCGGGTTTGAGTTTACATGATGAGTTCGCTGCGGGTTTGGATTCATAAAATATGGCTTAGGATAAGAGTTTGAAGATTTTATCGGTATTTGATTCGAATTGTTGCTAATGTTGTTTTGTTGGAACCAATTAGAAGGTCGCTGTGGATATTGCGAAAAATTTGGTTTGACATGCTGATGCGTACTTCTACATTGATTTGAAGTATGGCCAATTTTATTACACAAAGTGCATTTGGGTTGCTGAAGAGGGGTTCGAATATTCGCAGAATGCAATTTAGGAGAATTTAATTTGACAGATTTTTGATTTTCAAAATATGAGAGTTGGAGTTCTCGACGAATCCTTGCTTGGGCTTCTAAAAGTGAAGTGGGATTACTAGCACGAATGAGTTGACCTAATCTAGGTTCTAAGCCTGTAAGAAGTGTATTAAGGGTCATAGTCTCAATTAAAGATATCTGAGCATCTTTTTGCTCTTTGGATCCTAATGTGGTGGATTTTTGAACACATGAATGCATTTTCGCATTTAGGACTTGAAGACGATTGAAAAATGTTAATGCTGATTCATTGGGCAATTGTTTAAGACGTTGAAGGTCATGAATTAGGGAAGGTAAATCTCTAGAATCACCAAAGTGTAGAGTTAATAGTTTCTTTATTTCTAGATAGGAATCAGGATTCCTAGAATTAATTAATTGAGCTGCTTTACCGCGGAGCTTGTTTTTAATGTGAATCACTAAAAGAATTTTTTGTTGCGTTGTTGCCATATTATAAGCACAATCACACGCGTTTATAAAATTTCCTAAAAAGATTTGGTCGCCCTCAAATTCAGGTACGATACAGAAAATTTCCGAAAGTTTATATGGTTCAACTTCCAGCATTGTACTAGGTTCGTCTGATTGAGTTGCCATTATTTTAGGTTTTAAGAAAAAGCAAATAAATTTATAAGAAGTTCAAACACAATTATTTTTTGTTTTAAATATTGCCAAGTTAAACTTGGAGACTAAAATTTAATCAAAATAATTATCGCGGAACGATTCTACTTTGGGAAATTCAATAAATAGGTAATTTTCAACCTTGGGTAATCGAACGTAATAAATTCAACAATGTTGCAAATTAAAAATAAATTATTCGTAACGATTCTTAACACTTACAGTACTATTTTCATTGCTGCCTTTCGAGACGGTTGATGGGTTTATCCTTGTTCCGGTACGATGGGCTGTCTTCGTTGTTCCCTAGATTTAGGGGTCGGAATCTGCCGCCACTAGTTAGAATACTCGTGTTCTAGCAACGTGAACGGATCCTACTCCGAATTCTTGCCTCTCGAAACGGTGATGGAAGGTTCCTTGTTCCGGCACGACTGGGCTGCGATGGTTCTTCTTTCCGTCTAAGGGATTGGAATCCGCCGTCACTAGTTAGAATACTCGTGTTCTAGCAACGTGAACGGATCCTACCGACTGCGCCAATTTTTATATTTCACTTTTCAAAAATAACTTTTTAAAAAATATATTTATTAACTTTAAATTAAAATAAAAATCAAAATGAAATTGGACGTAATAACCTCGTGACGAGAGAATGTTATTAGACCGTTAAAATCAAACTAAAAATGGACATAATAACCTCGTGATGAGAGAATGTTATCAGACCGTTAAAATACAACTAAAAATGGACATAATAACCTCGTGATGAGAGAATGTTATCAGACCGTTAAAATACAACTAAAAATGGACATAATAACCTCGTGATGAGAGAATGTTATCAGACAATGTTTTACAATAGAAATTCGTATTTATAATAAATTTATGCTGACGTTGACGGGGTCGACGGCTGCGGATGTTGCGACATATCGTTGACACGACGTTTTCGCAATCGTTGCACTCTTGCAGGTCGGTGGCATTTAACCCATGAACCCATGTGGACAATAGGATTTCCGGATATAACAGCTCCCCCATTAAGTGAAAAGGTGGAGCCTAGCTGCAGCTTTTCGTAGACTAATTAAAGCGTAGCTTCTCGGTCAGTTACTTCTGGGTGGATGCTAGTCCGTCTTTTCGGAGTTAGTGATTTGAGTTGCATCGGGAGCAGGGGTCTTCGACTTGGCTTCGGAGGTTGTTGGGGATCGTTACCATCGGCGATGCTGAGTATTGTCGGTTTCTTTCTCCGGCATTTGCAAATGAAACAGCAAAGTATTAGTTTCAGGGGTTTCAACTCTGGGGGTTGAAACTGGAATTTGAGAACAGCAATCATATGGAATCTTAACGGCGTGGCTCTTGTAGGTCACGTTCTTATATTCTTCTATATATATATATATATATATATATATATATATATATATATATAAAATGTGATGACACTATATTCCGGGATATCATCCGTTCGCTCGTTGAACTCCGACTGGAATCCTGCATCCGACTGGAATCCTGCAAATCTTGCATCCGACTGGAATCCTGCAGACGTGTTCGAAGTGTTTCGCGAGCATTGAAGATGCCAAGTGAGATTTTGGCGAAACGTCTGCAGGATTCCAGTCGGATGCAAGATTTGCAGGATTCCAGTCGGATGCAGGATTCCAGTCGGAGTTCAACGAGCGAACGGATGATATCCCGGAATATAGTGTCATCATATATATATATATATATATATATATATATATATATATATATATATATATATATATATATATATATATATATATATATATATATATATATATATATATATATATATATATATATATATATATATATATATATATATATATATATATATATATATATATATATATATATATATATATATATATATATATATATATATATATATATATATATATATATATATATATATATATCGGTGCTCACAGACTTACATCTAGTAAACAAACCTAGTCTATGCAACTCACGTAATTTTGCCAGCTTACAAATAAATTCCTAAAGGATGCCTTCTTAAAGACTGTTACATCATCCTTCAGGTTTGTTAACATATTCATAGTCATAAAATGGCAACCGATTCTTCTAACGGTTCCCGGAATTATCTTAAATGTGATATCTGGCCTGGTTACCAGCGTGAATATAAGACATCCGGAAACCGTGTTAACATATACACAATGGAATTTCACAATTTTATGGAACCGGGCATTAGGAACGTCCGCCATGTGCCCTACTGAATTTTTTTTTTAGGTTAAGTCGGAATACACATCAGGAGTCTTCGAAAAAATTAAACTCTCAAGAGCCGAGTAATCTTTTATTCAACATAAAAAATAAATATCTTAAACGCATAAAAAAACACTCCCTTCCCCTCCCCCCCTGCCCAAAAAAAAAAACGCAATTCCTAAACTACTGGGGCGGTTTCCAACCGCCGAACGCTCTCTCGATCTCCTCCGCGACCGCCAACGTCAACCGGTCGCCGTCCGGCAAAGCGACGATCTGCACGCCCACCGGTAGCCCATCCCGCGTTCTTCCCACAGGACAGCTGGTCACCGGGAAGCCGAGAGCGTTGAAGATGGACAGATATCCGCTGACGAGTGTTTTCCGCAGCGAGTCCGCATGGCGGTAGGCGGCGCGTGGGTAAACGGGCATCACCAGCACTCCGGAAGGTCCCAACGCTTCGGCGATGCTGTTCTCCATTTGGCCCAGGTACCGGCGCGCCTCCTCCAAGACGCGTGCGGGTACGAGACCGTGAGCGCGCCTCGCGAACCCGTACAAGATGGCCATGAGCGTGTGATCCGAGCGCAGGGTGCAGTAACGGAACAATTCCGCGAAACAACCCTCGCCCCTACCCTTGAAGATGTTCTCCACGTCGTCTATGTCCAGCAGGCAGAGCGCCGCCACTTCCGGAATGTATTTCATGACGGGCGCGTCGAGCTGCAAATCGCATCAATCCCAGTCGAATCCGCGACGATATTAAAAACGGAACGCTCAAAATGCGTATGTCAAGCTTACGCGTCAAATTACAAATATCCTAACCGAAACTAACCGAATTCTATAATCTATGCATTAGTAGTGGCCTAATGGCCATATAGCTACCAGCCCTCTCCATCTTAATAGGACAGGAACTCTTGAAGCAGCTAGGCCCGTTCAACATGCGGATGCGCCCAAATTGTGGCTTTCAACAAGCAACTTAAGCCCTGTAGATACGATGCAATTTCTACAAGTATTTTTTCATGTAAGCAATTTTTTCCATTTTTTTTTTGCTTGCAAATCTGTGCAAAGCGTTAGTTTTCATCAGCTCATGGGTTTAACCTCTATTGAAAATGTAAACAAAGTCGAAATCACGAAAGTTAGTGGTCTAAATAGAACTTTGAGATGCTAGATATCGCACAAGAAACATCTAACCAAGAAAATTAAAATAAAACAAGTTAGTTTTGGAGAATTAATAAATTAATACGATCGGCACATTTTATTTAGCGCTTCCAAAAAACATCCTCATTTCTCTCGTTTGTAGTATTTGTAGTTTGTAGTTAAAAGTTATCTGCTTTTTTAACATTTCGCCAAATATGAGAATAAAATTTTAAAAAACTACCAAAATATGTATTTTCAAAGTGGGTTAAGCTAGAGACACATTTTGTTGTTCAAAGTAAACAGAAACTCAAAATGCAGTAATATACGAGGAGTGCCATTTGAAATAAGCAAGATGGTTGAACCGGAAGTGACTGCACGTTGAAAATCTTTTTAAAAAGAAGTACGCTTGCCTGCTACATTAATTAAACTTTAAATGAATGGATGACAAAGTCTGTATAGTAAGTAGTATGATATGATCAGTGACCTACAGGTGGCGCCATGAATTGATGAATTGATAATCTATAGTCCGTGAACTCGACCTAAATCCAGGTTTACTCGACACGACGTGTTGGTTTGTTGGGTTAACATTAGTATTCTGTGCTGGCTCACGTACTTCAGTGACAGCCGACTCGCAAATGTTGGCAAAGTGACGCACGATGCTGTCGACGGCCGCCGCGACGTCGGCTCTCGGTTCGTCGCAGTGGTACGAGTCGATGCCTCGAAGGTAGCGCACTTTGATCCGCCGCAAGTTCACCTGAAATGGGTCCGTCAAAACGGAGAAGTGGAGGCAGCAAGCGTATTACGTTTTCATCCAGTGCCAGACGGTCCAGCGCTTCGGGAACCGCGACTGACCTCAGCAGCAACCTCAAGTCGGAAGCGTAACGGGCCATGGGGCCCACCACGAACGCGCGATCCCAACGGGGGCGGTCCCGGCAGTCGGGATAGTGCCCCTTGTTGGACACAACCCCCGGGCTGGGCTTGTGGCCGTAGACTCCGCAAAAATGAGCCGGCAACCTTAGGGAGCCCGCCATGTCGGAGCCCAAGCTGAGCAACGAAGCACCCGATGCGAGCAGGCTCGCCTGGATAATGATCATTGAATCACATTTATAATACGACCAAAAATATAGTGCATTTATTGCTTTGACGTGCAATTGCAATATGTTCGTATTATTACGGAGGTATTTGACTGGCATCCTACGTATTTATGCACCTGATTCTTGAGCTTTGACCCTGTGAGGCTGTTTTCACTGGATAGTTCAACGGGTAAGCGTAAGTCCTATATCTATGTTACTACTCTATTCGTCTTACAGGTAAGTTTGAAAATAATCATTTTTGTCTTGTGTGCCTGTCGATTCACAACATTCTTTTTCTTGAATTTTTGTGTTTTCTACATCAATATTTATTGGAATCTTACAATTAAACATTTTTTTAAAATTCCTTTTTTTTAACAATTTAAAATGTGGATGAAGATTTTCTCCTGTTAGATCAAGACATGGAAAACAACGTTGAATTTGAAGACGAACTACTTCAGTAAATAAAAAAAGGGATCCGTTTGTCTTCGAATGCTAATCAAATTATTTTGAATGTTTACAATGTTATAAGAAGGGGAAGTAGGAAGAACAAGAGATAAGTTTTGAAGTCAACTATAAGAAAAACTGTTGCAAATGGGATAGTCAAGAGGAAAGTGAGAGAAAATGCTGGCATTTCGCGAATTTTGTTTTAATAGGGTGAATAGGGTTTTTACTCTACGAGAACTGCTTGTGCCAAAGAGTCGTTGCGTACTTTTTTGAAGAAAATGGATTTTCAGCTCCAAACAATTAAGAAAAGTCAAGTGCTAATGGAATGTCAAAGAATTTCGCAATGGGGAGCGGCAAATAGCTAGCAAAATACACTCGGGACACAGTAGGAAAAGGATGGCGTGATAACAGTAACAAGTGTGTACTAGACGTGCCGCGTTCACGTACAAAACGCTTCATGCTGGATCCAAAAATGGTTATTTATTAATATTTTGTATATGAATAATGATACTATGTAGAAATGTAATGAAATAGAACATAATAAATTGTTACTTTGTACTAATTTTTTTATGTACATGTTTCAAGAATTGTTCAGAGAAAAAGACTGAAAAGGTACTTCTATCCCTTACTGTAGATAGATTAGTTCCTAGGACGGTCCTGGAATGGTTGCGGGTATAAGGTTTTGGAGCAATACACAGTAGGTAAAGTTAATCCACCGTGTCGGTTATAAAAGCACTACATTTCTGGTCGAACTATAGATTGCATTGGATTGCAATTAATTGCAAATCGCACTTTTATTTACAATAGAAACGCGTAGTGTGACAACATTGGCATCGTTCACGTTGCTTCCCACGAAATCTCGTGGTTAAAATTGTATAGGCAAAGCGTACAATTCTAGAGTTCTTCACGCAGTATACCATTTTTCAACCTTGTTTGATTTGGCTTCGAAATGAGTGTTAGACCCGTCTGTTGAAAAGCGGAAGGGATCATTCTTTTCAGCACGTGTACCGCAAACCAGGGCCGTATTTAAAATGTTAGCGGACGAGGACTGTGCCATGCGGACTGTTGTATTTTAAGAGTAGGGAAGTTTTCTTTAATTTAACTGTGCATTAGTGTGCTTTATATGAATCTTCCTAAAACTTGAGGTAGCTCGATTTCAAGTTGAATTTGCCCATTAGATAGGTTGATCTCCTATATTAAAAACACATTAGAAAGCTTAAACTGATTCCCAATTTAGGGGTTTAACGAAATAGTATAAGATAGAGGGGAGGGTCGCCTATATATAAGTAAGTAAGTCACACTGAAAATACTACACGTAAAAACGGTATATCGTTTGGAGAACTCTACCGACGTCAATTTTTATCTGAAAGCGGCTCGTACCTCGCCGCCCGAAGAACCACCAGCGGTCCTCGTGACGTCGTAGGGGTTCTTGGTAGACCCCACCAGCTTGTTCGACGTCTCCCAATCCATACATAGCTCGGGCACGTTTGACGTCAGCAGCGGTATCGCGCCCGCCACCCTTGCCCTGCGAACGGCCGGCGCGTCGCATTCCGCGACGTCGTTCCTACCAACGACACCGGCAGTGTTCCTCAGTCCTTCTACGGAGAGGCTGCCCTTTACAGACAAGGGTAACCCTTTAAATCAAATATATCGTCAGACCGTAGAACATAAATCGGTAGGTACGTTTTACCGAGCAATGGCCGATCTGCTGGGACATTTCCCGATGTAAGTAGCTCGTCTACCTTTCGCGCCTCCTCCAGAGCCTCCTGGAACCTGTCTTCGATAACCGCGTTGATAAATGGGTTCACTTCCCGAACGCGAGCCACGTAAGTTTGGATTACGTTCTCGCAGGAAATCTGAAAACGAAATTTAAACCGGAACGGGCGATATCGAGAACGGGTTACCACCTCTCGATTACGAATTTTTCCCGCCAAAACGCCGGCGGGCATGCGCAAAACGTCGTCGCAAATCGGCACGCAGCGTTTCGGTTTCCGGAAAAGCCTGTACACGAAGTGCGGCACGTATAGCACGTTTATCGCCTTGAATCCGACGTAGGCGATGAAGCTCACCGCACTAAAACCGAACGACGGGTCCTGAAACACGAGAATTCATTTCATGCGGCACGGAAAAAAGCCGAAACCGACCGGTCCGTTATCTGTGGCCGTTGCACCCGACCGCATTCTCCTAAAACTACCGTTATCGCTATCGCGTTTATAAGTAAACTTTGCCTCTGAGGTCAAACACGCGACTTGTACTTTATCGACTAAGGAGACGAACGCCGTACGTCTGGGTTTACAGTGTGTTTTAAATAATGCAAAGTGACACTGAAAAGGTCGACGCATTATCGTTCACCTTGAACGGTACGCGACAAAAAAATACAACAAAATGAATTCCCGGGTGCCATGTTTACACGATGTTCACACGATTAAACACGATCTCAAATCTGTTACTCACCAGAGAAGGTTTAGTTTTGGAATAATCCTTGTTTTCCATTTTAGTGTGTAATCGGAGCTGCACTTGTAAATAAGAAATTCAATTCCTAACGCACAACGCGACGTCGATAGAATTATTAATATTCAAATCTTGTCGAATGCGACTCGTTACTTTAATGAATAGATTTTTTTCTGCTTTGGGGTGTTTGTACCGGTCCATTTTATTGGAATATGCGTGCTGGCGCAACACGAACCTGCCAGTCGAAATTTTTTTCAAACTCTTTGCGTGCCGCCGTAGTGCCTTGTAGGCACAAAACATGCGTAATTTGTTAAAGTAGTGAACGGTTTTATATTGGAATTACCTGTTTGAAACAGAGCGCCATAAAAGTAAAATGTGGCGTCATCTATCATCCGCCCGTTTAACTAGCGATTGCTTTAGGACAGTCCGTAGATGACGCTACAATACTCTTTTCTATACTTTTTAGAAATTTTAACGGCGTAAATTAGTTGCGAGTATATCTATCACTAAAAAAGGCTAATAATTCGTTTTGGTTAGTTGGTCGAAAGAGAAATTAAATTAGGATTTAATCGACAATTCGCATTCCCCTGTGCAGAGGGCGCGCTTGTCAGTTGATCGCGGCGGCTTGACTTTTCTCGACAAATGACAATCATCGACGACGACGTTCGAGACGAGAAAAATTTGTGTGGTGGTTACGTTCGTCACTTCGAATAACGAAAACTTACGAAATACCTGTTTAGCATAAAGGGGTGGCGCTTGCATCTACGAAACGAATCGGTACGTGTGTGTAAAGTGTACTCTGAATAAGGCGTCCTATATAATTAATAAACAGCAAAATGTCTACCACGCCCATGGGACAGATTTATTTTCAATGTTTTCCTAAAAGTCGCCCACTCAAAACGTAAACTACCGTCTTACGATATCCAAAGTTTCCTTATAATTTCGAAAATACTCGCGAATTTTTGTTTTAATGTTTTGTCCGTTATGGCATAGTTATTTAGGGAACCGAAATCGAGTCATCCACGTCGGGTTAAGATTTTATGGACTGCGGCAATTTTTGTTTTCGAGTCGACCTTGGACCGTATCGATTTTTCGTTTTGGCGAAGAATTCCACCACCCCAACCATTTAATGTAGGTCAAGTCAATAAAGATGGGACGGTATTCCGTTGGGCAGATGTGCGTGATTTCATCCTTAAAATATTTGTGCCGTGTTATGTCACGGCTAAATAAATTCAATTTTTAGACTCTAATTGGATTAACTCGAGTGTTTTGACCTTATCTGGTAAGGCGTTATCGTAAGATAAAAGCTGATACTGCGAATTGGAAGTAGAATTTGATTTTTCGATTGTTCAAAGATTTTAAGTTAAAAATCTTTAACTAATATAAAGCGTTTTGCCTTATTTGGTTTGCAAGAATCGGTAAGCCAAAAAAACAGGCCGGAAGGAACTAAGGGCGATGTACAAGCGCAGGAAATTTTTTCTCATAAACGCAACTGTAATTCTACTAATTGTAATTACAAAACGATATCGACCTGTCTGTCAAACATTTGGATTTAGACATTTAATTTACAGTTCTATGTTAGTGGGGATGGAACTCGTATCCGTATCTCCGTTTCGCCACGCCCTTAACCGTCCTTTAGGTGGTTTATATCGAATTGCACATTCAGTTCCAGCGTTAAGATGGACCAGATCCCGCCGCCCAAGGAGGTGAAAATCCTCGAAACCGCCGAGGACATCCAGGAGCGCCGCCAACAGGTGCTCACCCGTTACGACAACTTCAAGGCGGACGCGCGCGCCAAACGCGAGAAACTCGAAGACTCCAGGCGGTTCCAGTATTTTAAGCGCGACGCGGACGAGCTCGAGTCCTGGATCATCGAAAAGCTGCAGGCCGCCTCCGACGAGAGCTACAAGGATCCCACCAATCTGCAGGCCAAAATTCAAAAGCACCAGGCGTTTGAGGCGGAGGTCGCAGCCCATAGTAACGCCATCGTCGTCCTCGACACGACCGGACGTGAGATGATCAACCAGAACCACTACGAATCGGAAACGATCCGGAGACGCTTGGAGGAGCTGCACCGCCTCTGGGAGCAGCTGCTCTCCAAACTGGCCGAGAAAGGCATGAAGCTACAGCAGACCCACGTCCTCGTCCAGTTCATCCGCCACTGCGACGAGGTCATGTTCTGGATCAACGAGAAGAGCGCGTTCTTGTCGACGGAAGAGTTCGGCCACGACCTCGAGCACGTGGAGGTGCTGCAGCGTAAGTTCGACGAGTTCCAGAAGGATATGGCGTCGCAAGAGTACCGCGTCACGGAGGTCAACGAGATGGCGGACAAACTGATCCAGGAAGGGCACCCGGAACGGGACCAAATCGCCGGCCGCAAGGAGGAGCTCAACAACGCGTGGCAACGCCTCAAACAAATGACGCTGATGCGTCAGGACAAACTCTACGGCGCCCACGAGATCCAGAGGTTCAATCGCGACGCCGACGAGACCGTCGCCTGGATATCCGAGAAGGACGTGGTGCTGTCGTCCGACGACTACGGGCGCGACCTCGCCAGCGTGCAGGCGCTGCAAAGGAAACACGAGGGCGTGGAGCGCGACCTGGCCGCCCTGGAGGACAAGGTGTCGACTCTCGGCAAAGAGGCGGACCGCCTGTGCGCGATCCACGGCGACCACGCCCCGCAGATCCAGGCCAAGCGGGCGGAGATCGAAGATTACTGGCAGAGCCTGACGGCCAAAGCGAAGGAGCGGCGCGAGAGGCTCGAGGAGTCGTACGCTCTCCATCGTTTTCTCGCCGATTTCCGCGACCTGATTTCCTGGATCAACGACATGAAGGCCATTATATCGGCCGACGAGCTGGCCAAAGACGTGGCCGGTGCCGAAGCCCTGCTGGAGCGGCACCAGGAGCACCGGGGCGAGATCGACGCCCGCGAAGACAGCTTCGCCGCCATCGCCGCGGCGGGCGTGAACCTCTTGGACAAGGGGCACTACGCCAGCGACGAGGTCAAAGAAAAACTGTCCACCTTGGAGTCGGACAAGCGGTCGCTGATCGCGTTGTGGGACGAACGGCGCATCCTCTACGAACAGTGCATGGACCTGCAGCTGTTCTACCGCGACACCGAGCAGGCGGACACGTGGATGGCGAAGCAGGAGGCGTTCCTGGCCAACGAGGATCTGGGCGACTCGCTCGACTCGGTCGAGGCGCTGATCAAGAAACACGAGGACTTCGAAAAGTCGCTCGCCGCTCAGGAGGAGAAGATCAAAGTGCTCGACGACTTCGCCACCAAGCTGATCAACGGGGAGCATTACGCGGCGGACGACGTCGCGCAGCGTCGCGCCATGCTCCTCGAGCGGCGCAAAGCCCTTAAGGAGAAGTCGAACGCGAGACGCGAACTGCTCGACGACGCGTACAAGCTGCAGCAGTTCGAGCGCGACTGCGACGAGACCAAAGGTTGGATCAATGAGAAGCTCAAGTTCGCTACGGACGAGAGTTACCTGGACCCCACGAACCTGGGCGGAAAAATCCAAAAACACCAGAACTTTGAGCAGGAACTGAACGCGAACCGGAGCCGCATGGAGGAGATCACGTCCACGGGGCAGGAACTCATAGAAGCGCGGCATTACGCCACGCCGAGGATCCAGTCGCGCATGGAGGAGATCGTCCAACTGTGGGAGAGCCTGGTGCAGGCCACCGACAAGAAAAACTCCAAGTTGCAGGAGGCGAGCCAGCAGCAGCAATTCAACCGGACGATCGAGGACATCGAGCTGTGGCTGAGCGAGATCGAGGGTCAGCTCATGTCGGAAGACTACGGCAAAGATCTGACGTCGGTGCAGAACCTGCAGAAAAAGCACGCGCTCCTCGAGGCGGACGTCGCGTCGCACCAGGACCGGATCGAGAGCATAACCTCCGCGGCCAGTCAGTTCATCGAACGGGGCCACTTCGACGCCGACAATATCGCGCACAAGCACAAAATCCTCGCGGAACGCTACACCACGCTGCAGACGCCGATGGCGATCAGGAAGCAGCGTCTGCTCGACTCGCTACAGGTGCAGCAGTTGTTCAGGGACATCGAGGACGAGGAGGCGTGGATCCGCGAGAAGGAGCCGGTCGCGGCGAGCACGAACCGCGGCCGCGACCTGATCGGCGTCCAGAACCTGATCAAGAAGCACCAGGCGGTCGTCGCCGAGATCAACAACCACGACGCGCGCATCTCCGCGGTGGTGGACGCCGGCAGGCAGATGACCGAGGACGAGCACTTCGCGAGCGACGAGATCCGGAACCGCGTGACGGCGCTGAGCGACCACTGGGAACTGTTGAAGGAGAAGGCGAACCAACGCAAGCAAGACCTGGAGGACTCGCTGCAGGCGCACCAGTACTACGCGGACGCGAACGAGGCCGAGTCGTGGATGAAGGAGAAGGAACCGATCGTGGCCAACACCGACTACGGCAAGGACGAGGATTCGTCGGAGGCGCTGCTAAAGAAGCACGAGGCCCTCGTGAGCGACCTGATCGCGTTCGGCAACACGATCGAGGGCCTGAAGGAGCAAGCGCGTAATTGCAGGCAGCAGGAGCCGCCCGTGGTGGACGTGACGGGTCGCGAGACCGTGCAGGCCCTCTACGACTACACGGAGAAGTCGGCCCGCGAGGTGTCGATGAAAAAGGGCGACCTCCTCCACCTGCTCAATTCCAACAATAAGGATTGGTGGAAGGTGGAGATCCACGACCGGCAGGGCTTCGTGCCCGCCGCCTACGTCAAAAAGGTGGACGCGGGACTGACCGCGTCGCAGCAGAACCTCATCGAGAACAGTTCGATTTCGGCGCGCCAAGCGCAGATCAACAGCCAGTACGATCGGCTGCTCGCGTCGGCCCGCGAGCGCCAGGACAAGCTCAACGAGACGGTGAAGGCGTACGTACTGGTCAGGGAGGCTGCGGAGCTCGCCAACTGGATCAAGGACAAGGAGATGCACGCGCAGGTGCAGGACGTGGGCGAGGACCTCGAACAGGTGGAGGTTTTCCAGAAGAAGTTCGACGATTTCCAGACGGACCTGAAGGCGAACGAGGTGCGGCTCGCGCAGATGAACGAGATCGCGATGCAGCTGGTGTCGCTCGGGCAGACCGAGGCCGCCCTCAAGATCCAGACCCAAATGGAGGACCTGAACACCAAGTGGACGAGCTTGCAGCAGCTCACCGCGGAACGGGCGAACCAGTTGGGCTCCGCGCACGAGGTGCAGCGGTTCCATCGCGACGTCGACGAGACCAAGGACTGGATCCAGGAGAAGGATGAAGCGTTGAACAACGACGACCTCGGCAAGGACCTGAGGAGCGTGCAGGCGCTGCAACGGAAACACGAGGGATTGGAACGCGATTTGGCCGCCCTCGGCGACAAGGTAAGAGAGAGAGACGGGTGGGGAATAGCGCGGCGCGCTCATCTCGAGCGCGTTTAGATCAAGCAGCTCGACGAGATCGCCAACCGGCTGGTGCAGACGCACCCCGATACGGCGGAGCAGACGCTGACGAAGCAGCGCGAGATCAACGAGCTGTGGACGCAGCTGACCGCGAAGGCCAACAGCCGCAAGGAGAAGCTGCTCGACTCGTACGACCTGCAGCGGTTCCTCAACGACCACCGCGACCTGCTCGCGTGGATCAACTCGATGCTCGGCCTCGTCAGCTCGGAGGAGCTCGCGAACGACGTGACCGGCGCCGAGGCCCTGATCGAACGTCACCAGGTGAGTGGGGGGGTCGGTCCCGTCTCTCTTCTTCTCGACCGCGCGTCGTCTCACTTTGTTGTCTGTTTTGCGGGAGTTTAGAACTGGAAGGCGGAACATGACGCGCGTTACGGAGTGCCTCAGGTAGATTTGTCGCCTCTAGCCCGCCCCGTGTGTGGTAACTTTACTAATCGATGCTCGGGGGGCCTCTAGCCCTCGCCCGGCCTAATCTCTATGCGTTTTCCTTCTGGGTGTATCACTTATTCTATTGCACCGGTGGTTTGGTTCTCCTTCGGGGCCTCGGCTTAAATATGGCTCTTAACGAGACAAAGAATATCTCCAATAATCATTTAACAGCTGTTTGTCTCATCTGTTTCAGCAAAGCTCGTTTCTAGTTAAATTTTACATTATTATAAAAGATGTAATAGTTCGATAAAAATCCGCGCCCGCCATATTGAGCCCCAGGTTACGACGCGCACACGTATTAACACCCTTCGACGTACCGTGCTCGTATTTGGCGAAAACATTGCAAACAGGCTTTGAAAATTTTTATATGTATCCCTTAACTGTTTATTATAATAAGCTAATTTTATCTTAACTAGATTACAAAGGGTAAATATAAAATAGGATCCAATACATCAATATATGGAAAACATAATTGAAACGCAAATTATCAATAATTCCAGGAGTTTCATAATTACTGTCATAGACTTTCAAAAACTGACTCTCCCATGTATACTTGTCGGCTTATAATTGAGTTTTTTTTTTTCATTCTTACCACATGCAAGATGGTTAGAATTGGAGTTGAGAACCTTAATTGTGAACAGACTCTAAATTCATGAATATACAAATAATTGCTTCTAGGTTTACGTTGTATGTTTTGATTTTACTCTAATTCGTTATGAAATATTATTGCAAAACTACAGTCTGACGTGTTTCTATCAAAACACCAGTTTCTAAAATGATCTCGTATTCTACGCCGATGCAAGATGTTTGTTGTTGCAATATAAAATTACACTTTTGTATGCAAGATTTATAAAATTTCTATTCTAAAACCTTTACCTCTAACATTTTTTGATTTTTTTGTACGAAATATTAAATAATTATCTCTAATATAAGTAGAAAAATACACTTAACAATAATGGTTTTTATATATTATATATAAATTTGAAGTTGTTGCCGTGTTTTTACCGAATACGAACGCCGTGCGGTCACGTCGCGCATCGGGACCCCGTAAACATCCTCCGCCCTTTAGGAACACAGGACGGAGATCGACGCGCGCGCCGGCACCTTCCACGCGCTCGAGCAGTTCGGACAGCAACTGCTCAACTCGAACCACTACGCGAGTCCCGAGATCCAAGAGAAGCTCGAGCAGCTGAACGCGGCGCGGGCCGACCTGGAACGCGCCTGGATCGACCGCCGACTCCAGCTCGACCAAAATCTCGAGCTGAACCTCTTCTATCGCGACTGCGAGCAGGCGGAAAATTGGATGAGCGACCGCGAGGCTTTCCTCGCGTCCGACGAGGTCGACTCGAACGGCGACAACGTCGAGCTGCTCATCAAAAAGCACGAGGACTTTGACAAGGCGATCAACGCGCACGAGGAAAAGATCGCCGCGTTGCAGACCCTCGCCGGTCAGCTGATCGATCGCGGGCACTACGCGTCGCGCGCAATCGGCGACAAACGCGACCAGGTGCTCGACCGGTGGCGCCACCTTAAGGACGCGCTCATCGAGAAACGCTCCAAGCTTGGCGAGAGCCGCACGCTGCAGCAGTTCTCGCGCGACGCCGACGAGATCGAGAACTGGATCGCGGAAAAGCTGCAGCTAGCCACCGAGGAGAGTTACAAAGACCCGGCCAACATCCAGTCCAAGCACCAGAAACACCAGGCGTTCGAGGCGGAGCTGGCAGCGAACGCGGACCGCATCCAGAGCGTGCTCGGCACCGGCCATAACCTCATCGAGAAGAAGCAGTGCGCGGGCTCCGAGGAGGCGGTGCGCCGGCGTCTCGAATCCATCGCCGACCAGTGGGAGTTTTTGACGCAGAAGACGACGGAAAAGAGTATGAAACTGAAGGAGGCGAACAAGCAACGCACGTACATCGCGGCCGTCAAGGACCTCGACTTTTGGCTCGGCGAGGTCGAGAGTCTGTTGACGAGCGAGGACGCGGGCAAGGACCTCGCATCGGTGCAGAACCTCATGAAGAAACACCAGCTCGTCGAGGCCGATATCCAGCACCACGAGGATCGAATCGCGGGTAAGAGACCCGCGTCCGCGGTCATTTGAACTACCCGCTGACCCGTTTCGTTCGTTTTGCAGACATGAACGGCCAGGCGGACGGTCTGATCGAGAGCGGCCAGTTTGATACCGCGTCGATCCAGGAGAAGCGCCAGTCGATCAACGAGCGCTACGAGCGCATTAAAAACTTGGCGGCGCATCGGCAGGCGCGCCTCAACGAGGCCAACACCCTGCACCAGTTCTTCCGCGACATCGCCGACGAGGAGTCGTGGATCAAGGAGAAGAAGCTGCTGGTGGGCAGCGACGATTACGGCCGCGACCTGACCGGCGTGCAGAACCTGAAGAAGAAACACAAGCGGCTGGAGGCGGAGCTCGCGTCGCACGAGCCCGCGATCCAGGCGGTGCAGGAGGCGGGCGAGAAACTGATGGACGTGTCGAACCTGGGCGTGCCGGAGATCGAGCAGCGCCTCAAGGCGCTGAACCAGGCGTGGGCGGAGCTGAAGCAGTTCGCCGCCAATCGCGGCCAGAAACTGGACGAGTCGCTCACCTACCAGCAGTTCCTCACCAAGGTCGAGGAGGAGGAAGCGTGGATCAGCGAGAAGCAGCAGCTGCTCAGCGTAGAGGACTACGGCGACACGATGGCCGCGGTGCAGGGCCTGCTGAAGAAGCACGACGCGTTCGAGACGGACTTTCAAGCGCACAGGTGAGCGCCCGCCCACCCGTCGGGGCCGAAAAGTCCGTGAATAATTTGAGACTCGTTCAGACGATTTAAAATGTTTTCAACGAAGCGATGTTGTCAGTTTGATCGAAAAGCAGCGGCGTCATTGCACTTTTATGTAGGGCAAACTGTTATATCGTTGCATATGTGTTAAAAATTTTTGGCTAAAATCATTTTGAAGTATACATGAGAATGGGTGTTTCGTTAGAGAAAAGCGAATTTTTAAAACAATCATGTTTCTCCGTTCTTTAACATCGATCTTTACAGAAAAAAAAGCTCCTTACAAAAGTTGTATTTTTATGTATAAGAAAGTATAAATATACAGCAGACTATGACAAAAGTAATTGGAAAAAAGTGAAAAACAAAAATGTTTTGGAGATTTTTTATATAGTCAATAAGCAAATTAAATTGTGCTCAATTTAGAATTTTACTAGTATAGTAATAGTTCAGAACCGACTTACTAGACTGCTGTTAACGTTTCTAAATCTTCAGGTTTCAATATTCGGTGATATGTTACATAAATTTGAAAAAAAATACCCCAATAAATAATTAAGTCATAAAAAAAACTTCACATTGTCATACAAAATTATCAATTTGTCAATTAGTAATATTTGACATTTTAATATCCTTTATTGTATTACTTTCTATTTTATATTCCTGTATATAATTCCTAATCCCTTGGTTCTGAACATTTCTTACATTTTTGAACAATTTTTTTTATTCATAATCATTTTTAAGGTGTTCTGTATAATCAACATTTTGCATTGTTAATTTTTCTTCAAACATATTCTTCAACATACTTTCCTACTTGTCAACGTCGGAAGCCAAAATTTCAGATTTCAGATGTATATTTTGAGCTATCTGGCACCAATCATCAAAATTGTCAGGCAGTAGCTCATACTGTACAGAAACTTCCTTTTTCAAAAAAAATTTTTTATGTGTGATTTTAATCCTCTCCGACATATAAAACTGTTTATCGTTGTATGATGGCGTTTTTGTTGCCCCGTTTCTGACCAGATTTGTCATTGGGGCCTCCCTGATACCGCGGATCTAAACGCAACCTAGGCAAGGATGATCATTTAATATCATACAGATCAATTCTCAATCTAGATAATATTTATTTATGAGATGCTTAAGGACGAGATTTTGACATAAAAAACATGCCCCTGAGTTCTTAAAAAATTAATAGTAAGCTGCTAGAAAAAAAAATGTTAATTGCCAATATAGAAATGATCCAAGCACCAACTTTAAGGGCTGGTATTTGAAAAATTAATTATTGCTTGTATCGATCATTATTTTAAAAGGAACAGTTATTTTAATGACGCTTGAAATTTTTTTCAAATGCCAAACGCGGAGTTCGATAACACTTCCGTCGTCGTTGCAGAGACCGCTGCAAAAACATAAGCGAAGAGGGCGCGCGACTCGTCGCAGCCGGCAACCACCACGGCGACAGCGTCACGCAACGCTGCCAGCAGTTGCAGACGAAGCTCGACCATTTGGCGGCGCTCGCGGGCCGCCGCAAGGCGAAGCTCGTCGACAACTCCGCCTACCTGCAGTTCATGTGGAAGGCGGACGTGGTGGAGAGCTGGATCGCCGACAAAGAGACGCACGTCAAGAGCGAGGAGTTTGGGCGCGACCTGTCGTCGGTGCAGACGCTGCTCACGAAACAGGAGACCTTCGACGCGGGTAAGCGAGGCCCCGCCCCGTTCGCGCCGCCCAATTACGCGACGTCTGTCCCTCAGGTTTGACGGCCTTCGAGCACGAAGGTATCCAGAACATAACCGCGCTTAAGGACCAACTGGTCGCCGCCAACCACGACCAGACGGCGGTGATCGCGAAACGTCACGCCGACGTCATCGCTCGCTGGCAACGCCTCCTGGCGGACTCGGACGCGCGCAAGCAACGCCTGCTACGCATGCAGGACCAGTTCAAACAGATCGAGGAGCTGTTCCTGATGTTCGCGAAGCGCGCGTCCGCCTTCAACTCGTGGTTCGAGAACGCGGAGGAGGACCTGACCGACCCCGTGCGCTGCAACTCGATCGAGGAGATCCGCGCGCTGCGCGAAGCGCACGCCCAGTTCCAGGCGTCGCTTTCGAGCGCGCAGGCCGACTTTGACGCGCTCGCCGCCCTCGACCGCCAGATCAAGGGCTTCAACGTCGGCCCGAACCCGTACACGTGGTTCAACATGGAGGCGCTGGAAGAGACGTGGCGCAACCTGCAGAAGATCATCGCGGAACGCGACGGCGAACTCGACAAGGAGGCGCAGCGCCAGGAGGAGAACGACAAGCTGCGCAAGGAGTTTGCCAAGCACGCGAACGCGTTCCACCAGTGGCTCACCGAAACTCGGTAAGACACGCCTACGGCGCCACAGACACCTTATACACTTGCCCGTTTACGTTACAGTTACCGGATTCTCGGCTGGGACGGGTAAATAGACGTTTGTCGGTTTGCGTTCTATATAGATTTATGTCTAACCCAGCCTCGGTTTTTCTTGCTTGCGAATGCGCGCGCTAACACCGCGTTCCCTCTCTCTCTCTCTCTCTCTCTCTCGTTCGGTACGTTAGAACTACCGTGTGTTTGTAGCACGTCAATGATGGAAGGCTCGGGCTCGCTGGAGCAGCAATTGGAGGCGACCAAGCGCAAGGCGGCCGAGGTGCGCGCGCGCCGTTCCGACCTCAAGAAGATCGAGGACCTCGGCGCCATCCTCGAGGAGCACTTGATTCTGGACAACCGGTACACGGAGCACTCGACCGTCGGCCTGGCGCAGCAGTGGGACCAGCTCGACCAGCTGGGCATGCGCATGCAGCACAACCTGGAGCAGCAGATCCAGGCGCGCAACCAGTCCGGCGTGAGCGAGGACGCCCTCAAGGAGTTCTCCATGATGTTCAAGCACTTTGACAAGGAAAAGTCGGGCAAACTTAACCACCAGGAGTTCAAGAGCTGCCTGCGCGCGCTCGGCTACGACCTCCCGATGGTGGAGGAGGGCCAGCCGGATCCCGAGTTCGACGCCATATTGAGTGAGTTTGCCGGCCGGGCGGGGCGCGCGCGGGTAAACTAAGGGTCTGTTGCAGACGTGGTGGACCCGAACCGGGACGGGTACGTGGCGCTCCAGGAGTACATGGCTTTCATGATCAGCAAGGAGACGGAAAACGTGCAAAGCTCCGAGGAGATCGAGAAGGCATTCCGCGCAATAACGGCAGGCGATCGCCCATACGTCACCAAGGAGGAACTCTACGCGGTAGGTGTACCACGTCTTGGCACGGGGCCGGGGGGGGTACCCGAGTTGGAACGTTTTTGTCTGTTGCAGAATTTGACCAAGGAGATGGCGGACTATTGCGTGGCGCGGATGAAGCCGTACGCGGAACCCAAGACCGACAGGCCCATCGCCGGCGCCCTCGACTACATAGAGTTCACCCGGACTCTCTTCCAGAACTAGTTTTAAGGAAACTTACGTGTTTATTCGTACGACTAGCTTTAAGCTTCCATATTTAACATATATTTATATGTTGACCAGAGTATTTAACGTGTTTCATTGGCTTTTCAGTAGCTACACGCCTTTCAGAGTTTATTATTATTATTATTATTATTATTTTGTAAACTTTTCCACTGATCTTCGATAAAATATATAGCTTTTTCGCTTTTAAGGTGTCGTTTTTCTTCACTTTTCGACGCGGCGCCATTAAAGCAACAATTTAACTTTTTCTTATATTTCGGGATTAAAAAAAAAAGGCATGTCAGAAGTGGGATTCGAACCCACGCCCACAGAGTGGACTGCGACCTGAACGCAGCGCCTTAGACCGCTCGGCCATCCTGACTTATAAAAACCAAATCCGTATCGTGATTAGTAGCTAGTAGCTTTTCGACGAACCGCTCGTAGTAAATAATTTGGTGGGTTTGCGACAGATGGCGGTGTTAACGTCCACCTTTCCGAGAGAAAGAAAGAAAGTTAAAATTAGACTATCCTCTCATGGATAGTGCTCATCGGTGCGGTTTATTGTTTTTTCATGAGATGGCGCCGTTCGGACGAGTTAACCTCATTTGAATATTTTAAGGGTTTATTGAGAAAATGAGAGCTATACACCGTTTATCGAAAATACTGCAACCCATAACGATCATCTCGAAAGGGTCAAACAACCCCCACAAGGACGTCACCTCGAAAAGCCAGAGGGTGAGCGCGCCGCGCAATCGGAAACCCGTTGTTTCGAGTTTGCTTCTTTCCAGTTAATGCTGGAGCTGGGTGTTATACAGCAGGCGCACACCGGTTCTTTCCACTTTCTCCCCTTAGGTCTCAGGGCCCTGGACAAACTAGTGAAGATCGTAGACGAGGAGATGGCGTCGATCGGCGGGCAAAAAATCATGTTCCCCACGCTAGTAAAGGCGGACTTGTGGACGACCAGCGGCCGTGCGGATGCGATGGGCTCCGAACTTATGACGCTAAAGGATAGGCACAATCACAAGTACATTCTGTGCCCTGTAGGTAAATGAGCCCATGAAGGAAATCATCATCTGGTAATTCAGAACCGACCCCTTTAGACACACGAAGAGACTGCCAGCCATTTGCTGCAATCGCTCGCGCCGATTTCCTACAAACGATTTCCGCTGCTCATTTACCAGATCACAAGCAAATATCGCGATGAAATGAAGCCCAGGTTTGGTCTAATCCGAGGTCGCGAATTTGTCATGAAAGACCTGTACTCATTTGATGTGGATAAGCTCAGCGCCATGGAGACGTACGAGAAAGTCGCCGGATCGTATGATCGGGTGTTTAAAAGAATTGGCATCAATTTTGTCAAAGGTTGCAAATCAATTACTATAAAACCCCAACAAAACAGACGCTTTCAGTTCTCGGCACGTCCGGGACAATGGGAGGCGATTTGTCCCACGAGTACCACTACAGAGCGGCCATCGGCGACGACAAAATCTTCGTGTGCCACAACTGCGACTTCAGTGCAAATGTTGACTTAATGAAGACAGAAAAATGTCCAAAGTGCGATGAGGGAAAAAACGTTTCCATCCAAAGCAGCATCGAAGTTTGACATTTGCTGACAGTACCACCTTTCAGTGAACACACAAGCCGATTTTGTTCCAGGTTGGCCACACGTTCCTGCTCGGCGACAAGTATTCCAAGCCTCTAAACGCCAAATACCTGTCGCACAATGCCAAGCCGCAGCTCCTTCAGATGGGGAGCTATGGCTTGGGACTGAGCCGAATATTAGCGGCGAGCGTGGAAGTGCTGAGTCTGGAGCAGGAGATGCGCTGGCCGGACAGCCTGGCCCCTTTCAACGTCGTCGTCGTGCCCCCAAAAGCGGGCAGTCGAGAGGAGGCTACCGTGGGACCCCTGGCCGAACGATTGTACGCGAGTTTGGAGCGCGAAGTCCCCGAACTTAAGCAAAACGTTTTGCTCGACGACCGGACGAATCTGACGGTGGGCAGGAGATTTTTGGACGCTCGTCGAGTCGGGTACAGGTTCGTCATAGTTTTGAACAAACTATCTTCGGAGGACCCACCCCAATTCGAAATGAACGATTTGGCGAGGAATAGCCAAATGGTACTCCAAGAAAACCAAATAATAAAATATATTAAAGAAAACATCAATACTTAATAATGCGTTTTATTCCTAATATCACAAATAATCTTTGGAACACATAACCTACAAATTATACAATGCAGAGCTAAAGTTTGCTTTCAAAAACAGCGAGGAGAATATGACAATGAGGCTCCAGATTTTCGGGCAGTCACAGATAACTGAAACAGTGGCGAATTAGATAAATACGTTGATTTATTTACAAGAGTACAAACCTTTATAAGCTAGTAGCTGTGATAGGCTCGTGTACAGGGTTATGAAATGGAGGTGGTAGTCATAAACTCCGATATCCCAAATGATTGACGGCAGCAACATGAAGATGCCGGTTGTCGAGAGAGTGATTGTTTTGCAAATCAAGATGAATGTCACGGGACCGGTGTGGGAGGTGTAGAAAAAGTTGTAAATCTTTGTGAAGGCGAACACAACTATCACAAACCATAGAGCGCCTAAAATTTCTAGTTTGCAACGACCAAATAATCCTTATTCCAAACTTTAGTACTGGCGGTTATATTCAGGTAAATCAGGTAAAATTTAAAGTCGTGCAGGTTGATATCAAACTCTCGGAGGTCGCCTGCCGTTTTGTTTGAAATGGTCTCGGAACTATTCAGAAACCGATCGGAAAACGTCCAATTCGAATAGGCCTCCAGTAAGGTCAGCAGAAGCGACAATTTCCAAAAATCCTACAATAAACCGCGCAATACCAAACTGAGTCCCCATAGATATGAGCCTATAACCTTGAATTCGGAATTTAAGAGCACGTGTCGGTAGGCCATAATTCTAAGCAAAATCAGGTCGATCACAATGACGACCGGGTCGTATTCGACGTACTTGTCGGAGATTTGCTTGCATCTCCCCTAAAAGGATCAAATATCCGCACGGTACGTCACGTTATAGACGACGAACTTACGCACACACTTAGTTTCAGTACCGTTTCGCTGTACCTCTTGTATAAATTGGCGACTTTTTCGCCGCAGTTTATGCAATAAAATTGTTTCTCGCTGTTCGACATTTTTTTTATTAACCCCAAATCTTTCTTAGCCATGGATTATAGAAAATTCACTCGCAGGTTTACCACTCGCCAACGTTAAGTAATTGCAATCTAATACGTCACAAGTCGCGTAAACACATATGATCCGAATTTAAAAAGTTTGCAACGGTTCGAGTCTGGGAACGGCGAAGGCGCGCGTCATCTCGATGTTTCGGTATTTCTGGACGACGTCCCGCAGAGATTCAGCGCAAGCTTCAAAATAACCGCAGTCGAAACCGTCGATCCTGGTGTAATGGTGCATGTGAGCCTGAAAACAGGGGCACAAACGAAATCCAATGCCGCCTTAATTTCGGTATAATTTCGTAACCTTTTTACGAAACAACTTGTCGAAGTCGCCGTAAATTTTCGCGAAATGGTCGCTCATCCGGGATGAATTAAATAGGGAAAACATTGCCGCGGGGGCGTAGTGTGGGCTCGTGCCGCACAGCCCTACTTTTATCGACTTTTTCGACCACGGCGCGAAGTTTGCCCTAGCCTGAAGCCGCTGCGCGTAACTTTGCACGTCCGACATCGCGTAATCTCCCCGACCGATCAAAGTGGCTCCCAACAGGACGGATTTCGGGCCCAGAGGATCCACTTTGATCAGCTGATTCGATTTGTGGAGGGAGTCTAGGAAATATTTATCTTTGATTTGTTGGCTGAAACGACATCTAAGATTAAACCAGGAGGGCGATCGTATAGCTATTAGATAATACAGGGACCCCCCCAACACTGTAAAACTGATACGTCACAGAATTATCAGCGCATGGCTTTTAATTTTAGACACGAACCTGGACTCTAGACAATTTTCTTGGATCATTTGTTTGGGAAACTTTAACGACGCGTTTTGACAAAATAATCGAAAAACGATGCGATTGGTGAATTTTCAGGGAATACCTTGATTGTTGAATGTCGCAACTTCTTATTGGTTGGTTTGAAATGACACGTGTCATTGGTTGAAAGCGAGTTTTTAAATGACTGGATTCACATATTGCATAACTGACCAAGTTGGCTTAAAAAATATCTGTATAACCACAAAAGCAATCCATCTGTATTTCTAGTAGCTATATGAGGGCAACAGACGTGTGAGGAGTCCGCGAAGGTACCTGGTCTTTGTATTGAAGCGGGCGGCGACGGAATCGTGATTGAAACCGGCGGACAGGAAATTAAGCTGTGGAAAGGGAACCATGTTGGTGTTGATTTCATTCATATCCAGATTAAGGTCACCGGGAAACCTCGAACCACTGAACCGAGCAAGTTACTAGACACTTTGGCAAATCATGTGATGAAATTTACCTAGTCAGATGTAACAACATTTCCACGATTATGTCGTTCATGGCTCGATAAGAGCGCTCGCCGCATCGAGATTTTCTGTTGACGATTTCTAAGAGCGCACGATTCTCCACCGGAAACACGCAGACCGCGTTTTCCAGCATCCTGTACGTGGCCAAAGCCATATTGTACGGACAAGTAATCACGTCTTCTGTGCCTGTCGGGTACACGCAAGCCACGAATCTAAAATGACCTTTAAACTTTGACAGAGACTTCGCCGGGATCCGGAAATTAGGACTGCCATTCACCTTTCAATTTCTGGATAAGTATCGGCTAACAAGTCGAGAATGTAGGTTCCCAATCCGGAACCCGTACCGCCACCGGCGGAGAGCAATAAAATAAAACCGTGCAGACTGTCACATCTCTCCACTGCGTGCTTCAACGCCCGGAAAATCTTTCTCTTGTACCTTGGTCCGTGTTCGCAATAACCTTGCGCCCAGTTATTTCCGGAGCCGGGATGATTCGTTATAAAACACTTGTCATCGAACATACCCTTTAAAGGGCCGCGTTTAAACCTCGCCACTACGCTGTCCTCCATATCGATACAAATGGCTCTCGCTTTGAGATCATTTGGCGTGCGGGAGGGAACGTTAAAGAAAGCCGAAATCGAATCGTTGGATCTGATTCGATACTCGCTCAAAATAAGGGGCCAAAGGGCGGCGCCGATTTGATTACCGCACTGGCCGACTGAAACATTGCGGTTGTATACGAATTGTTGTACTAAAAAATCATACCTTGAAGTATTATAAATTCGCTCATTGCAACGAAACACAAAAACAATCCTAAAACAACATAACCAAAATTAACAAGATATTTTGATGAATCCAATATTACAATCCCGCGGTTCCATTAGAAATTTGCTTGGCAATTGGCTATCGACAGCTAGATGGCGCACAAAGTACCCACTGAGCGGGGTGACAGAAACTGTCAAATTACCAGAAAACGATAAAAATATCGGAACGAAGCAGCTTCAAAATGCCATTTTAACATTTGTGCGTGATGCAAATTTGTTCGCTGATGGTCCAAGACCGAAATAGATGCAAGTATCGCGTTTTGTGATATCCCATTGTCTTGATCGTTTCGTAATATTTTCGGCATAGCTGGCTATATTGTTTACTCACAAACGCAGTCACCTTTGCTTGTAGTAATAATAAACGAAGCCACTGGTTTCTTGTAGCTTTGATTATGTTCAGAAAAGGTATGTTTTCTTTTCATGTGTTCTGGGGATAAGTGTAAAGTCGAGTAGAGATTTAAATCACAACCATTTTTGTAAATAAAAACATACTTGTATTGTTCCCTATCGAAAATATCATTTAATATTGCCTGTTTGGGTACCTTAATAAAAAACAATTTCAACAATAACCTTTTTTTTTTTTTTTCGAAGAAACTTCCACAGGCGACTGTATTACTTTTTACAAAACTTTTGGATTCCTCCTGCGTCGAACCTGCAGACGTTTCGCCAATCATTCTGTTGGCTTCTTCAGATCTTGACTAAAACAGTTTCAGTTCTGTACAGTTCGACTCAGCAAAAACCGACGCAGGAGGAATCCAGAAGTTTTGTAAAAAGTAACAATAACCTTCCTACTAAACACCTGTGCTTTCACTATGTTTAGGTTAAGTTGACTTAAACTGACGACTCGTTTTCTCGTTTGAAGTTTAATTTCTTGCAACATGGAGGAACAAGACGGGGCGCAAAAAACCGACCCTGATCCGCAAGATGCTTTGGGAGGAGCAGCAGATTCGGATAATACAGAACCATCCGTTTCATCAGACGAGAATCCAGCCCCAATTGGTATAGATGAAAACGTCCACATGTTGTTGGCACCAGACTCGCCTACTATCGCGCACGATTGGCTCCATCGGATGACCAAAAGAAACGAAAACGTTTGCTTGTTGGCGGAGGAATTCTCAAACAACACAGTTAGCACCAGCTCCGACAGTGGTATTCACTCGCGACCAAGCGAGAAGCGGGAAGAGCAAGCCGACCCCGACGGGGATCCTGGCAGCCGAACCAGCTGCAGTTCAGCTACAACTCTGCGCGAAAGCAGCGATTTCGAGTCCGAGGATGACAACAAGGTGGTGAAAAAGATTAAACCCAGACAGAACTGGCACCTGTTGCCGGAGTATATCCAGCGGCAAATCGGCTACAGCTCGAAACTGAGCCACCCGGCTTTGTTCCAACAAAGGTGTTACGGCTCCCTGAGAAACGTGCAGCGCCTGGAGCTCATGTACAAACTGGAAGAGCACCGAGGCTGTGTCAACAGTTTGAACTTCAGTCCGGACGGCAAACTATTGGCCAGCGGTTCTGACGACTTGCAATTCGTCATATGGGACTGGAGTGTGGGGCAGGGGCTGCTCAAAGTACAAACGCCCCACCGGCGCAACATCTTTCAGACCAAGTTTTTAGACCTGAAGGGGCCGGGCGTCCATTTGGCGACGTGCGCGCGCGATGGGCAAGTCTGTTACTACCAGCTGGGCATGGAGGGCACTCGGAAAGAGAGCCGATTGCTCGGCCAGCACCGCAAGCCCTGCCACAAGTTGGCGGTGCTGAAGGAGCAGCCGCATCTGGTGCTCAGCGCGGGCGAGGACGGCCTAGTGCTGAGTCACGATCTCAGGTCCGGCGGCCCGCCCACCCAGCTGGTACACGTCAGGGACGACGATCTCGATCGAGCTCTATACAGTATCCACGCGGATCCGCTTAGGACCCACCAATTCTGCGTGGCCGGCCAGGAGTCGACTGTCAGAGTGTATGATCAGGTGGGTGAACAAGCGATATATATTTTTTACAGTATATTTGAACTACTATAAGTAAGACGGTCAGTATTTTTAGTTTTATCATCAGCGATAAAAAGCGGAAAATCCGATTAATTTTCTGTGCTATGCATTACAGTGTTTACCGAGAGGTGAAATCCGTGAAATCTTTTTTATCTGTGACTTTTGAGCACTTCTAATTTTGAAATAAAAAAATTATTCTAAAAAGAATCGTCTTTGGTTCCTTTTTTGAATTCAACAAACTCGCTTGGCATTTTAATTTTTTTTTTTAAATTAATGTTATTATTTTTTATCATTTGCTCCAGCTAGTTCAGGAAGAGTAATAAAGTACTCTTTAAACCTATTAGATGAGGTGCTAACGCTGGTGATTGGATTGTAAATCTCATCTTTTAAGCTTTGAGGATAAGTTTCTTTTCTGTTAATGTTAATTATCCTCCACAGTGCTTGTCTCTTGAACAATTTCATTAGTTAAGCAAGTAGTTTTTCTAGTGAACTTTTTAAAGTATTTTTTTAACCCCCTCAAAAATGCGGCAGTTTTGTTTGTTGACGTAGCCATTCAACCAGAAGTGCGCTTCGTCGCTAAACAAAATTCGGCAATCTCGTTTTGCAAGCGTTGTTCAGGCGCGAGTCTATTCATGATGAATTGCCAAACCAAATTGAGAATAAATCACTCGACAGCTGTTAAATCGGTCGCCATCTTGAACAGTAATGCCAACTTAATCGACAAAAAACACCCATTATTTTAAGATCCGACCTTTCTTATTTTGTGAGCTCTTGTAATAATGTGCGACTAGGCTTCACCCGTCAATAAATAAATCAATTGCAGAGTTAGAATTGACCTGGCATTTACAGAGACGGTGCTCCGTGCCGGTGACCGCCCTGAGTCCCTTCAAAAAGAGCGACCCCGACTACTTGGAGAGCCTGCACGTGACCTGCGCCGTGTACAACCACGACGGCAGCGAGATCCTGGCTTCGTACAACGACAACGACGTCTTTCTCATGGACGCGGCCGGCGCCCCGGGCTCCTTCAAGCATCGCTACACGGGCCACCGGAACCGCGACACCATCAAGGGCGTGGCGTTCTTCGGGCCGCGCTCCGAGTTCGTGATGAGCGGCTCCGACTGCGGCCACGTCTTCTTCTGGGAGAAGAATTCCGAATCGATCGTCCAGTTCCTGCTGGCCGACGACAACCGCGTCGTGAATTGCCTCGAGCCGCACCCGGAGCTGCCGTTCCTCGCGACCAGCGGCCTCGACTGGGACGTCAAGGTGTGGGTCCCGTCGTGCGAGGAGGAACCCGCGATGCCTGACCTCGCCGAGACCGTCAAATCGAACCGGAAACGGCCCTGGAGCGACGACGCGGACCACCTCGACGAGAGTCAGATGCTGCGGCTGCTGCTGCGACGTCTGAGGGCGGCCGGCAGGACCACCGCCGACCCTGACGATTTCAGTTCCGACCCGTCCACCTCGGACTCGGACACGTCCGACGAGGATATGGTCGGCTGCGCCGCGTCCTAATCCTGCCCCCCCGCCCCCTCGCTTTTTTCGTTGTGTAAATAATGATAAGATGTCGATTATTACCTCCGTGTTAAATAAAAACTGAAGGAAAATAAGGGACGCCTTTTTATTTATTAAAAAAAAAACTGGTGAAAATTAAACTCACCGGACTATGGTAAAAATTGATTTCACTAAACTGCGCATCGCACCATTATCTTGCTAAACAACTCGTTTTCCCAGAACATTTGACAAGATATTTTGAGAAAATAATTCCGTAAAAATGCCGCGTCCAGACTTATTGACGATCTCTCGACAGCCATGTTGGTTGTTGATTGTCGCAAGGTCGTCATGCTCATATAGCTACTAGAGATATAGAGACCCCTACTTATGCCCATAACACATGCATCTTTCAGCAGCTTCTACCTGCATAAGCAGCAGAAAAGCATTATTAGTGAATCTTATTTTTTTTTGTAGTGGATGGTTGGTTTATTCAAAAAGACCTCATATGGAAACAATGAAACCATTCCCAATTTTACTTGGAATCTACATACTAATAATAAAATATTTTTTTCCACCAGAGATCTCATTGAATTGTAAAAAACTGTTTCAGCGGACTTTGACTATCAACGCTAGAAATATCATTAGACCGGACGCACCCCGCTGAATAGACGCTGAATCAACGGTTCGGCCATATAAAATCGACTGCCACCATTTCCCGTGTCAAACACCTTCGCTGTTCACATTAATTGTTCGTTTTTAATTTTAAGAGAAGCCCTGTTTTTTCGAAAAAATTTTTTTAAAACGTACTCCGTCGGTCGTGTTATTTAACTCGCTAAAAGGGTGGGTTGCCGATTAATTTTGAACACGAATTACCAACGAGACCGTAACAGATACCGTCGACTCCGCTTTTTATGTTTTACTTTATATTGTAACGACGTGTAAAACATACAAGTAATTAAATGTAATTTCAAAAATAAAGGAAAAGTAATAAAATTAAACTGTACCTCTTCAAAAGCAACTCATTACTCACCACAACGTTCCTTAGAACTTTCTGGAATCTCTGGATGAAGCAACTGTTATATATATAAATAATTTATTGTGTGTTGCCAGAGTACGAATCTTCTTCTATCTGATTTCCAGTTCTTGTTTCTGTTTGATATTAGCTTTCCAATGAAGCTTAGCATCTGAAGTTGGTCCCAGATATTTTGCTGGCTTCGCATCCAAAGAACGTTTAGGTTTTTTTCGCTAGACAGATTCTATTCAAATTGATTAAAATCGACGTAGCTTGTAAACAAAACAACTTCTAAACGGTATTGTTCGTTTGTTTTGTAACATAACCCTAAAGTATATACCAGGTAAATGGCCGAAATGGATCATTTGGCAACGGTGGATTGTTTGACAGGCATCGCGATTCTTGGCGACAAAGTTACGAATAGTGTTTTTTATCCCGTTTGGACGAACAAAATATCGATTCGGCATCGGCGTAATTGGATTCTATGAATGACACCCGAAAAAAAAAAAAAAAAACGCTAGAAGTCAATCTTCACGTTTATTGAACTCGGCCTCTAAATACGATTACACGAACCAAGTCTGCGTGCGTGTAAATAACAACTATAAAACAGCCTGAGATTTTTATACAATACAAATAATTGTTCTGCGGAACAACGCCACGCCCCACCCGGGCACGGGGCGGAAGAGGTGCTACTGCGGACGCGCGGAGGCCGCGCCCCTATCGGTTCTTCAGCAGGTTAACGAGGTAGCGGATCTGCGCGGGCAGGTCCCGCTTGCGGTGCAACTCGACCTCCTCCTCAAAGAGTAGCTGAAGGGTGGCCGCGTCCGCGGGCCCGGTCTGCTGATTCAGCATACTACTGAAGAACATGTTCCACAGGTCCAGCTTAGCGTATCGCGGCAACCGCGTCGAGATGCTCCACACCTGCGGATGACACGCATGTAGACGCCACGCCCCGCAGCGTGTTAAATCGATCGTTTATAGCAACATAACTTCCCCTGCTCCCAAAACGTAGTTGTGCACGATTCTTTACAAAAATACAGCTTTATTTAGGAGCAAAATAGTTTATTCCCCAATCTGAGAAATTCAGGGTTGAATTTTTAGTTTTTTTTTTTAAGAAATATAGTCTATAAGTAGTTACTTAATGCAAAGTAGTAATAGAATGGGAATTGGCAATAGAACGATGAGTTTTGTGAATGAACTCCATGTGGTGGCAGCATCACAGGTACTTTATCAGAATAATAAATATGTATGAGTTCTTCACGGGTCGAGGTTGTTCAATAATAGCAAAAATCTTTAAATTTTTCAGCACAATGTGGACCTTGTATCTTTTCGATCATTTACAGCATGTGTTTCCTTTTCCTCTTCATCCTGGATTATTGTCCAATAATTTTTGACATAGATGTATCACTATCCTTGTGCTTACAGGTAAATCAGGTCTTACTAAATCTTCCGATGTCAAGCTTCCTTAGTGCTGCAAAATTGAATAAACATATCCGGTGTTAGCGGCCATTGCATAAATTCGTATCTCCCATTTCGTAGGCTTGTTAGGATTGCAAGTTAAAAAACTAATTTATCCCTTAAATCCAACAACAGATTCGTCTAACGATGTCTCTCTTGATGGAAAAAAATGTTCTTTGAATTGCTTGTCCAAATAATTTAAACAGCATACAAAAAAATTTGTAAATATGCTACTAAAAAAAAGGTATTATGGCGTTAGATTGTTGTGACCAATACTCTTGGAAATTAGATAAGATTATCGTACCCATATTTAGGACAACCCCAATAAATGCGGTAAACTCTTCTACTGCAACGTTTTGATAACATCTTCTGTGCTAGACAGACCGGCCAACCTGCTGTAATGGTAAATCATGGTGTGCCGCCTATACGGCGACATACGAGTGCAAAAATCGGGAGAACTGGGCGCAATTTAGCTACATCAAGTATTTAAAAACATAAAAAAATTCTTGAACCGGTACTATAACTTTTATTTCAACCATTTTTTCGATTTTATTAAGGTTTTTCGAATTACAGACAAAAATCTAAACCTTAAATCAAAATTCGCAAGAAATAGGCCGCCTTGAGAGCCACATTTTTTGCAATTTACGGTTTTCGTCTATCACGCACGCACATATGACCTCATTTTCTATTCCGGCATTCAGCATAATTTCAGAAAAATATTTATTTTCTGAAAATTCATATACCCGGAATCGCGGGAGATGCGGGGCCGTAACTTTTACTCCGGGCATTTCAAAAAATCAAAAGGACACTGAAAAATGCAGTTTTTAGATAAATAATAAATAGATTTAATTTAAACGGTATCGTAAACTGTGTGCCGGGAGAGAGTTTTCGCTTTCGTCCATCGTACAGGGTCCGCGAGATATTTGAAACAATATTATTGTAAATCGGTATTTTCTGTGGGAATTTTCATCAGTGATAGGTGCACACCCGGTCTTCTTGGCACGAAAACCTGCTATTCGTTACATGATTTATTTAGGATTTATGACACACAGCGAAGAGATTACTTGGACGTTCCATTCTCCCCACCCAAGGTATTTTTGTTTGAAAGTATATAACAGAGCTTTAAATTTCGATAAATGCTTCGAAGAAACCGAGAGTTTATCTGTTATTAAGACCTTTTTAACTAATAGGTGTCTCTATTCAGTAGATGACTATTTTTTAATGCATTATGTGACGTGCTTAATATATCCATATATGTGTTATATGTAGTATCGAAAAGCGAAATAAATATCCATCTATCTATCAAAGTCGGGTGCCGTACCTGGTCGACCTTGCGGAGTTGTATGTACTCCTGGAATAGGAGCACGTGGGCGGTGGCGGCGACGCAGAACAGGTCCGTGTGGTAGCTCCACGGTCGGCCGTCGCGTACCTCGCAACAGACGAAGTTCTCGGTGGTGATGGGACGTGTGAACGTCGTCCCCTCCGGGAACAGCGTCATATCGATGCTGCAGCCGAAATCGATCAGACGCAGGCCGATCGCGTTATCGCCGTTCAGCAGCACCAGGAAGTTGTCCGGCTTGATGTCCGCGTGGATGACGCCGGCGTCGTGCATCGCGCGCACGATCCTCAACATCTCGAGCGTAAGGTAGACGCACAGCGCTTCCTTTGGTTTCGCGCCCTTCGTCTTCAGCAGATTAACGGCGTCGAGGAGGGAGCCGTACAGCCCGAATTCGGACACGAGCACCGACGCCTGGTCGCTGAAGTAGCCGAGGGTGACGTCCATGAAGCGGTCGCGCAGGGGGTGAGCGGCGAGGCGCCGGCGCAACTCGCGGCACACGTAGTACTCCCACCGGTTGGGCGGTTTCTGGTACTTGAGCGCGACCTGCGAACCGGTCTTGCGGTCCTGCGCCTTGAACACGGTCCCGAACTGGCCCTTGCCCAGCACCTTGTCCACGTAGTAGACGTCGCCGCCGACGCTCACCGGTTCCTTTTTCGCCACCAGGCGGGGGTTGCCCTCGATGTGCACGTAGCCCTGGTCGTGCGGTCCCGGGAACCCGACCCTCTCCAGCAGACGGTCGAGCAATTCGGGACAAAAGGGGTCCGACGGAGCCGCGACGACCGCCCCCTGTGGGCGGCGCGAGGCGGAAGGCGACGCCTGGACCGGCGTCGGGGACGCGGGCACGTCCAGAGTGGCCATCAGGTCGCCGAGAAGGCTTTGACGGAGGGCCGCGTTCGCCATCAGGTTCTGCGCCAGATAACTGTTGTGCTCCTCGCTGATGGTGCTCATTTTGCGCGAGCGGTTCTGAGAGACGCGGTACGGAGTCGCGCACGAGCTCGAACTCGACCCCGACGACCCGCTCTTCGACTCCTCGATGATGGTGCTCAGGCCCTTCTCCGGCGCCTTCGCCTCGCTGAACAGCATCTTCCGCGTGCTGTGCTGGTCCGCCAATTGCGGAGGGCCAGGCCACTTCGGGTTCGGGGTGCTCACCTAATACGACACCATCGACGATAATACATATTGTATACTAACCTAAAAGAGCTTCTAATAAAAAGATTTTTAACATATCTTAAAAAAGGTTTCAAGTTTAGGCGCCGATTAATACACTATTATACAAGCGAATCAAAAATACAATCAAAAAGCAAAAACTGTTTTTTCGACTGGGAAAGTGACGACGAATTTTCGGGATGACCACATGGAGTCGGCTTAATCGATTAACCCGTTACCTTCGAAAAGGTAAAACCATTACATAATCACATTACATTACATTGTCGTCAAATTTTGCGGAGAAAAGCGGCTGGTACACTTTGGGACGGTTTAGAGAGATGGAAGCATCGCTGTGTAGAGTGACAAGCAAACTATGTAAAAAAAAATAAGAAAAAATGTCTTGTATCATTGTTAAGTCGGAAACTTTTCAAAGTGTGTGTAAAATTGTTATTTTTTTAAAATAACCTCTACAACTACGAGTTTTTGGGTTTCCAACAACCGGAATCGGTTGTTGGAAACCCAAAAACCACCGCAGAACTTAGTTTACTTTTGATATAAGGCATTCAGAGAGTGTTTTCCAGTTAAGATTTATATCAATATAAAGCCCAAGAAATTTTATATCGCTACTAAAATGAATCGTTGTCCAATACAATTTTTAACTTATTTACACCCTTTTGTGTATGATAAAATCGTAAATAGAGTTATCACGGAACTATTAATTTTTTTAATCAAGCTATTGCGATCATTCTCCAAAATAGTTCTAAAAAAAAACTCGCTCTTTTTCCAAATATTATAGAAACTTTAAATTTGCTTACACTGCATTCTCAGCCATTTGTTCTTAAAATTAATCAACAAAAATCAAGATTTAGAGTACTTATTTATCTACCTCTTCACAAACCAGCTCTTTCTAAGAGAGACTTTTCACTTAATATTTAGAAGTTTTATAATAACATTTTCAAGGCGAGAATAAAACATTTTTGTAATGATTAAATATATTATAATTAAATTTTCTTTCATATTCTTCATATTCCTTCTTCTTCTTTCATATTCCTTCTTTCCTCTTTTCTGCTAAGTAAAATATATACAGGATGGTTCAAAACAAATACTAAAAACTTAAAGGTAGTTTCTTAGATAAAAATAAGAAAAATAGAGTTTTTATTTTTTTTAAATCAAAAGATAAAAACTATTATTATGTATTATATCATAAAAAAACGAGTGGAGGTTATTGAATTAGACTGCTCCTATCATTCTTCTTAACTAAATTTACGAAAAAACTGATGCAGCAATATAAAAAAATATATTCTTATATATTATGTTTTATTTAGTAACTTTTGCCTCTGGCAATTTTTTCATCATTACCGAAAAAAAAAAAAGTGGGCTGCAATCACTTAAGGCGTTCAATATTATTGCTGTATTTGACAATGCCCAAGTCAGTTCCGGGCATTTTCAACGCTTACCACGAAAATAGTATTTCTACTTTGCCTTTTTTGCAGCTTTTACGTGATAACTTAGGTATGTATATTGTATGCATTCTTGGGACTTAATTTAAAAAATAAACATTACAATTGTTATTAATACCCAAATACCTGCATGACGTTGAGGTTGATGCAGAACTGTTCGGTGTTGCAGCTGATGTCCGCGGGGGCGACGGGGTCAACGGCGTCGCCAAACGACGACGAGCTGCTGTCAGAAAACGGCAAGTTGGGCATCGGTTTGGCGCCGTCGGCGGGCTGCGCCGCCATAGCGACGTCCATGCCGCTGCACGAGCCCGTCTCGACCAGTTCGTCCGCGTTCAATGTGCGAAACGCCGTTTTCATCGCGTTGCCCTTCGGCTGCAGGGAACCGTCCTTCGTTAACTCTTCCTCGAAAATGCAGAACTTCTGCTTCGGGCTGTCCTTTTCGGGCGAAAACAACTGGAACCTCGGCGCCGCCACCATACTGAGTCTCTGCTCGTTCGACTTGCTGAACACGTCCTGCAGGAAGTTCTGGTGCTGCGTAAACGTCTTCCACGGGCTATGCTTAACGGTCGAATTGATCTGCGCGGGTTGGGCGTCGTCCTCCACCAGCAGGCAGTCGTCCTCGTCGTCGATTAAGATTGACTGCACCGCCCGATCCGTTTCCGTTGACGGGCTACGCTTGTACCCGGTGGCGCGCAATTCTTCTATCGAGTATTCCGTGTTCGAGTCTATGTACACCCTGGATTTTGGGTAGCCGTGCACCACCGTCGGGCTCGGCTCCTCGGGGAAATTTATAATCGACACCCGCCAGTTGGAGTAATCCTCGAGGCACGCGGGCGGCACGTTCGGTGGGAACCCCGGCGCGACGAAGTTGTCCTCCAAAATGGTGAACGTGGGCCTGCCGCCGGGCCTGTGGCTGCCCACAGCGCGTTTTTTATTATTGGCGATCGTGGTCCAGGGACCCGCTTTAATAGTGTTTTCTTTCGGGGCCTCCTGTCGCTTGGCCACTTTGATGATGCTTTGCGGGCCAGCCGCCGCATCCTGGGGCAGCGTGGGACGGTGCCGGTCCTCGTAGATTCGTAAAGGGTTCTCGGAACTGGTGCCGGGCACGACAAACGCGCCGTTCGGCAACGCCGCAGAAGATTGCCGCACGCTACTCACCCGTCCCGAAGCGTACAAAGGCAGAGCTGTGAGCGCGTGGCGCCTTTCCAGCAACCGCGTCTGGTTCGGGCCATAGAGCATGTGTTCCCCGGCGGCCGTGATCAAGTTTTTATGCGCCAGTTCGAGTTCTTCATACGGCTGCGCCAAATTCTTCTTCCCCTCTTCGAACACCCCATTGGCTTTTTGAAAATCGCCCGCCATCTCGTAATAGTACGCCCACGCTTTGTAAAAGTCAGCGCATCCGATGCACAGACCTTTCGCCTTCATCATAAGGTACAGTTCGATGGGGTTCGGCGTCAGGTCGATGTATTTGATCCACAGTTTGCACAGGCGACGGTCGTTCGTGTATCGAGGGTCGTTTTCAAACTGGCCCAGACAATGCTCCAGCAACGCGGCGCAGTTGCCCTCGTGGCCGTTCTTCGGGTAACTTTGTTCGATCCAATAGATGTATTGGTAGTAGTTTTCCAAAGGGTCGTCGCCTTGGTAGTTTTTAATGGCCCTGTCGAATTCCTCCTTTTGGCGGGCTAATTGCATTTGCGACTCGTGATCGGTCTGCGCCTGCAGAGCGACCTCCAATTGATGCACGTTGCGACCCCCGCGCAACGGTTGGATGTTTTCCTTGCTCGAGTCGAAATCCATTTTTAACCTTCTTGTTGACGTTTCGGCGCAAACATAACGGCAGAAGTTTCGACTGTCACTAACGTCAACGGTCACTTTAGTTTAGCCGGAAAACGACTGGAACAAAAGTATCAGTTCCCGCAGCACTCTTCAAAATACTATTCAATGAAATGCCATAAAATTCATGGCTCACTTTTTTTAACCGCTTAGGAGAATCAACTTAAATTCTTTGAAAAATGGAATCCAAGACTGTATGTGCGCATGCGCTTATGCGACACACATAGGGATGTTCCGATACCATTAAAGTATCGATACTTACTGATATCGATACTTTTAGCACTTTATTTTTTTTTAAGGAAACAATGAACGTTGAAGGACAATAATTAAAACAAAATTAAGAAGGAAAAGAAAACTTTTATTATAAACGTTTGCGTCACGTACTTTAAAACAAAAAACTCCATAACATTGGAATAATATGCCCATGATTACAATAAATCTCTTGCATGTTTGACAATGAAAAAAAATGAACGGCGAACGTCTTTCTCGCGTTTGGCTCGGGCTCGGTCGAGTGAAGTCGGACGAGTTTGGCTTGGCTGGCGCGAGACAACGCGTCACCACAGATCAGATAGAGATTATGTTTGTCTGATGCGTTCGGTGTTTTTTTTAATCGTGAGGCTGATTCGATTTGATACCATGTACTTTTGTTTCGATACCGAGTAAATATCGCAAGATTGATTCGATGCTATACTTGGTATCGAACCAAAAGTTTCGAGTACCTACTAGTATCGGAATATCCCTAGACACAGAAAGACACTCGGAGAACTAAGTACCATAGTTAAGCGCTGTAACCATGGTACTTTGCTAAAAAAAACAAATTATTAAAATAAAACAAAAGATTTTTATTGAAATTAAACTCCGTCGATAACAATAAGCACTGATCAGTTGGACATTTTGTCATTTTTGTTCTTCCAATCTTTGAGGTTATTCATATTGAAACGTCTAAGCTTGAAGTTTTGTAGAAATCTCAGTTCTCCGGTCCATTCTTTCAGCATGCGAAATTGAAGGCTACTCAGCAAATCTGGCAACTCTAAAAGACCTCACGTGGCAGCCAATATTCGCGGAACATTCATATATTTACCGATGCCGCAAGTCTTGAACTCCTCCCGCTCATTCTTTATCGTCATATTTATAATGTCCTCTCTGCTTGCGTGCTGTCTGTTTCTTCTTTGCCCAATCGAATGTTTAATTTTTATTTGCTCCAATTCTGCGTCGAATCGCGCGAGATATTGTAAAATTGCCAACTCGATATCCCCAGCCGAACAAACTTCTTTATCTGGCAAATTGTCGCGAAACCATAATAGTTTCTCGCCGAGGAGATTTTGCTTCAACAATCCCGACAATTTCGATTTGTCCCGAGCGGTTTGCCTAATGAATAAAAAAGGATAAGCCGGGATCCCGTGGCAATACCGCACTCACTTTTTAAGACGTTTGACCAAGGCTTTTGTTCGTCTGCTGTTGGGATGTTTGCATTTCTCGATTTGCTTCAATTTCGGCTAAAAGAGCAACGATTACATTTTAATTAAGTATATCAAAATTGTCCCACTCAAACCATTATGGGAGATTAATGGCATGGAAAAATGATTTTCAGATGTCACTTGTTCAAATTCACGTCAATGGGGAGGGTTATTTTAGTTCCCACAGCATAAGGTGTTTCGCCATCTGTTAGCCGGAGGTTACAACCACATGACAAAGCAGAAGAGTGTTTACTAGAAATCTTTTTTGTTATTTTTGTCGATACCGTAAACACACTATTGGAATGTGGGCAATTTGTAAAGTGTTTACATTCCCATGTCCGGAATTGTGCTCGTATCTGTCAATATTTGTGAGCAAATGGTGGTACCGAAAAAGCTGGCCCACGCGTTGCGTCAAACTCACAAAATTTACCGTGAACAGTACCACAGGTAAGTGAGAATTTGCTCTAATAAGCATGCGAGGAATGGCTGTCCGCAGTTCCTTATCGCACCTATTTTCTATTTTCCGGTTTAAGGTTCCGAAACTCCATAAATCTGCTCAAATAACGAGAAATCGTCGACTCCCGGTTTCGGTTTGGGACTTTTAAAATAACCCGTTTCTGCAGCACGCTGTTTTCGCGTGATGTTCCTGAAACGCGTGTAAATAAATAAACGCCCACCTAGGGAACTCCGATTTCGAGATCGTCTTGTACTAGGTCGTCCAAAATTATCCAATTTTTACAATTATTTCACGTTAGTCGGTTGGCTCGTCTAGTTACATAGTTATTACGCATAAAATGAAACAATTACGTTCCAAATCAGGGACGTATCGTGTTTTCGTTACCCCTTAGAGCGTGGCTTTTGTAGTAAGGCCCCAAAACGTTTTATTCGGAATTATTATAGTTATTTATACGTGATATTTAAAACGTAGTCGGTCTAAAAAAAGAACCACATCCAATTTTAAAGGTCGACTTTGCGAGGTTTCGAGGCGCGCTCAATTGTCAACACGTTTTTGTTCTCTCTCCGACTTTCGCGCGATTTTTTTCAGTATTCGTGTGTGTGTGAAAAAAAAACATCGACATCTCCCTCCGGAATATGCGAAACGATAAAGGGAAATTCCGCGCGTTTTTACGAGAATCCGGCGCGGTAAACTCGCCTCCCGGCTTTCAATTCCTTGGGCCGCCGCGTATCGCACGTCACGTGACCACCGTTATTTAAGCTACGATGCCCGCGAAAGCTTTCCAGTTTGAAACTGCCCGTATAGATCGTTTAATGCTGGTGTTATCTCTGGTTAACTAACGACGAGTTTTTTGTTTGCGAGGTAATCTCAGTATTTTGTCATCGACTAGAACCGCGGGCCTTCCTCGAGGGTGAGTTTTTGATCGCGAAACTTGTCGCGCACGTACGCGCACGACGGGACGTAAAATGTAACGTATGACCCCGAATTGTTCGATTACGTAAATCCGCCAGTAAAGCTGGCCACCACACACTGCTATTCATGCTCTCCGACACTGAATATTGTGGCCAAAATGCGAGATTATCAAAAAGTTTTGCTTTCTAAATTATTTTCATACTATACAGGTTGTCTCAAAGACGTTAAAGGTATCAAAGTTTTTTTTTAAATTGAACGCAATTTATGTTATGGCATTTTTGGATTTTACGATCGCAATAACGTTTGATACAGAAATCTTAAAGTTTGTTAAATAATTTGAATTTTGTCAAGTAGTCAAAGTGGAGTGTAAAAATAGTCCAGATTTTATATCTCAAACTAACCAACGCCTCCCATCTATGCTATGAACTATAAATTACTATTGAACTGTAAAACTTAGTGCTCTTGGTGGTATTCCATAGGCGTAGGATTCAACTTATGGTGACAGGGACGGTATCACTCCTGTACCATAGTATTTAAATTAGAATTATAGTGACTTTGCCTGATCCTTCGGAGTTGCGAAAATAGTAATTGGAGGATAACAAATTGAAACGGTAAAAGATTAATAATTATTCACATTAGTAGCAAAAAGGGATTTCTGGGTGGTGGCTTACCGGTACTCCAATCAATACAGACTGGAGACTATCATAAACACCTGAATGTTGATGTTTTTAAAGACTACTTTCAGCAAAATTTCGACACATTTCCACCCACATCCTGAACAAAATGTCTTATTCTAACTCTTATCCTTCGCTTTGTGGTAGACGTTTTCTTCGATTTGTTAAAGTATTTTTGGGCACTAAAAAAAATCGATGGGTATCGGAAACTCTTAACAGAGGCAATAGCTGAACCATGTCTAAATAGGCAGATGCAGGGCATTCCATTGAAAAAATCAAAGAAACAGTGGTTTAAAATTTGTCACAATAGTGAACCAATTAAAAAATCAAATGAACTTCTTGAAGTGAAAATCGATTTTTTTAAGTTTTACAGGTAATGTTGTCCGAACTAGATGATCACCCACACTTTTTCAATTTTCACATCGGTTTCTCGCAAAATATCGACTTTAAACCGAATGCGACAAAAAGATTTTTTAGAGGGATCGTATTATTCAAAAATATAGTCTGAAGTCTGAAGTCGGTAGCTGCAATTTTATAGTACTTATTATGTTTTTTATATTTATATTGCACAAAATATCGCGAACACCCTGTACAATACTTAAAAACCGTAAATACAAAAGTTTAAGCTGTCTATATGGGCTATATCTTCATGTAAAATAAACTGACATCTAAAACAGATTTGAAACTATTGCCAATTTTCAATAATAGGGGAACCCATTTTTCAGTTTTTTTGAATGCGGCGCACCCTGTATATTTTTGAAAAATTGTCAATTGTTAATGGAGTCGTTTTCTCTGCGTCTTCTGGTTCAAGAATTTTTTTGGTCTTGTAAACGGTTTTTGCAAAATGGTCTTTTTTATAGACCCTTGCACGCACGATTTTTTTTTTAAATACTTCCCGACCCCCCAGCCCCACCATTTTCAATAGGTTCCGTCACGGGGCAAAGCTGCATATATGCGCCAAATATGAAGTCGATTGCTTCAAATTTTGGACACTACTCGTGATCAGGGCCATTTCTTATAAGCTTACGCGCGCCTCGTGGAAGGTTAAAGAGGAGGCAAATTTCAATTTTGTAGCTCCAACGGTTCGAAAGTTATTCGGGAAAATCCAAAAGACGAGAACGGAGAACGGACAGACAAAAAAATTTTTTTTTCGACGGTGATCATTTCTATATCAACCGAGATATAAAACTTTTATACGAGCGCACGTACTTTCGAAAAATTCGATTTCATCGATTTTCGAAAGTAACGAGTGATTTCTGAAGAAATCCATTTTGAACAATACAGCTTTTTTATGCCCTTTTCTTGTTTATAAAGCTAATACTAAAATCCTGTCCTAAAATATTTCCGAACATTTTTCATTTTTCTTGGGTGACGACGCTCTAGCCCCGAGTTAACGTTTCCTTTTCCAAACACCCTGTATAATACACGTTAAATTATCGCTCGCAATGCGCGGCCGGACTTTCAATTATTACAAATTAAGATGATTTCCATATGAGAAGCGTGCCTTTGTGGGGAGGCTGGCGTTTGAATATTTATCAGGCGTTATCGCCGTAAAAGCGGTCGTAGACGTGCTGCCACAATTATATCCGAGCAGATAACCCCGGTCGAAATTAAGCGGTGATGGCGGACAATAAAAATTATCTTAAGAAAACACCCGTGCGTCACTGGCGATAGCGTGGCGATTTCTGGAGAATTGCATTCGTTTGCAGATACGCCGCAATGACGAAACTGCACAGCGTAAAGTTGGCCATCCCCCTGCTGGGGGTGATGCTGTGGGTGTTGTCGATCCACGCGGGAATCTTCTCCGACGCCACCCTTATTTTGGCCCCCCCGAGTTCAGGTAATAATATGCACTCTTATTAGTCTAGGATTGGCTAAATATTCTGATCCCGTTAGCGGGCGGGGGTCGTTTGGTGTCGCGTCTACAACCATTCTGTTTTAGGTTATGTTGTTATAAATATGTATATATGTAGTTGGCAGAATACACATTTTCCGGATTAAATTCTAGATTAAACTCGAAACACTTGTACGCCGAGGTAAGGACAATATAGCGATAAACTATGTTTCCGTTTGCCCCAGAAATACTTACCATTCCGACAATTTGATAATGAGCTTCGAAGTTTTTAGGCGTTGAGTCACTCGCGAGATTTTGTTTCGACATAAAAGTTCCTCTTTACACTGTCCATACAGACGCGCCGATTAAATATTTTTCCTTATACCAAATACTTTAACTAAACAAACTAAACTAGGACGCTCCGAAGAGGGGGCCACGTTACGGAGTTTTACCAAACTTGTTTCTGTACGCTCGTATCTAGATGGCGCATTCGATTGCTGCGTCACAAACCACAAAAACCGCCATTCGCGATGCAATTTTTCCTTTTTGTGTATTTTCGTTCTTAATAATATAGTTTATGAGATTCGGAGGGTTTAATTAAATACTTTAAACCCATAATGCCAAAATTAAAAACGAGAGAAATAGGGATGTCTAACGTTTTTGTTCTCTAAAACTAATTTATTAAATTTTAATCTACAGTCTTATTTCGGATGTAACAGAATAATGTTTGTATGAACTGGTAGTTAACAAATTTTGCTTGATTGCGTTGTGCTGTTAAAATTGTATCAGGTGTAGTTGGGTAGATCTTGTCTTGTCTTGATTGTCCATTTTATTAAGAGTTCTCTAGTAAATCAATTTGGAGACTTTTTTATAAAATCAAATTAAAAATATAAATCAAAGTAATAAATTATTTTCTCACACATTTTTTAGGCAATTTTGAGGTTGGATTTCAATTGGTATGCGTTCAGAGACTCAAATCAATCACAAGAAATTCAGCAGATAAAATTACCATGTATTTTTCATAAACTGATAGGTTTAACCTCTATGGAAACTATAAGTAAACTCGAAATGACGAAAGGAGACTTTTGAGGTACTACATATCGCACAGGAAAATTTTAAGTGTTCAAGGAGCAACTTAGAACCTCCCATAGACAACGCTCAGTAATTGCAGATGAAAGTTGCGATTTCCAAATATATGATCATAAAAAATGCCAATAAACAATTTGTTTAATAAACTGCATCCGTCTACCGGGCGTCCTTAATGTAGATTTAAGTGTCGCCTAACGTTAGACAGTCCCTAAAAATGTTGGCGTGAACGGCCGTGTGGTCCTTTGATTGACGCGAGGCGACGCCATCTACCGGCACCGCGCGCCAAACTACTTAGTCTGTGCTGCGACCGCTAGGTGGCCGCTGCGATTACGAACACGTCGACATCTTCGATGCGATCCGTGACGACGACCTCAACCGGTCGGTCAGTTTCGCGGATCGCGTGGTGGGTTCCATGAAGCGCCTGGAGGACAACTTGCTGTGGTCCAGCATAACGGTGCACGACGGAACCCCGTCCCACGGCATGTTGATATCCTTCGGGCCGGAGCGCGAGGCGGCGGACGAATCGAAACACGGCGTGACCGCGCTGCGGGCCACCAATCAACTAATGAACGAATTTTGCGGCAGGTAAGTGCCGCGGAGAAAGCGGCATCGACCGCATTATGAAAACGTGGTTCTTCGTGGTAGGCTGCCGAAAGAGGACGGTGAGGCGGTGAGCCAACGTCAATGCGCGCGACTCATGGGCAGGTTCAGTTTCCGAGACACTCCCCTGGCCGGGGCCTGCGGGTCCCCGATCACCTGCCCGCCCGACGCTCCGTATCGATCAATCAACGGTAGCTGTAACAACCCGGCGCTACCTCGCCGAGGCGAATCCTTCACCGGCTACTCGAGACTCCTGTACGCCGACTATTCGGATGGTGTCCACCAGCTGCGACGCTCGGTCTACCGGAAGCCGCTGCCCAACGCTCGGAAGATAGTCAACGGGCTGACCGCGGATCACGAGCAGGTGCCCGCGGAGAAGGCCACCTTGGCACTGATGCAGTGGGCTCAGTTTTTGGAGCACGATCTCAGCAGATCAGCGACTGCGGTCGGAAGTAGGTCGCAGATAAGCAAATATCGTCTCCATAGATGGCGTGCCTCAGGTTTGCGGAGGGAGGATAACGTCGTCATAGTTAAGATTTTAGTGAAGTACGGGAACACCGGTTATGAATTCGACTGACTTATTTAGACCGAGATATATTTTTTATCCCAAAACTTCAGTTTAGGTGGGTGTAAAGACATTTTATCCGAGAGATGTAATGTGTTTGGTTTATAAATATTGATTAACCATTCACTTGAAACGTGTGCTTTTTGGTGCTTATAATAGCCAGTTACCATCATCCGTACTTCAGTTTCCATAGGTACGCTACACCAAACATTGCACAGCATAAACTGAAATCACTTCCAAAGGTAGAACGTAAATGGATAAACTAAATTGTGGAAAATCCATTCCATTACTTTTATCCATTCGATTACTTTATATCATTATATATTTGGATGAGTTACCTGAAGACCTGAGCCTCCCACGACGTCACTTAAACTGTGCTGTCGTACCTAACCAAAATCTAAACTATGATTATTTTATCCCCCCCCCCCCCCCCCCATCGCGTGACTCTGCAGTACCTTTGACAGTGAAGAATTTTATTTGTTTATTATGGCATTAATATTATACGAATCTCAAAAAAAAATTGGGGGTACTTGTAAAGCCTGACCGATCATTTTCCATTAATAAAAAAATGTGTGCAAGGGGCCTATCGTGTTCACGGAGCGGTTTAGATTATATATCACGGCGGCTATTGAACTGAGATGGCTTTTACTTGATGAAAATCGATTTATCAAAATAAATAAGAACTAAAAGTTCAGATTTTCACGAAATTATATATTTTTACATGACAATTGTTTCGACAACACCGTGTAAAAATATATAATTTCGTGAAAATCCAAACTTTTAGTTCTTATTTATTTCGTCCTCTTAGTCCACACGGACAACCCGATCGAGTGCTGCAGCCAGGAGGGCGGCAATCTGTCGCCGCGCTACGTCCACCCCTTCTGCTCGCCCATCCACGTCGGTTTCGACCGCGCGTACGCCGACAAGGGCGTCGACTGCTTGAACTTTGTGCGATCGATCCCTGCCATAAGGGCGGACTGCACCTTCGGCGCCGCCGACCAGGTGAACCAAGCGACCCACTACCTGGACGGTTCGCAGATTTACGGCTCGTCCGAACGCAAATCCGCGTCGCTGAGGACGTTCGCCGGCGGCAAGTTGCGTACCTCTAAATACGGCGGCCGTACGCTGTTGCCGCTGTCCGCGCAGCCCACGCACGATTGCCAGATTTTCTCCAAGAGTTCGCCGTGCTACGAGTCGGGCGATCCGCGGGTCAACTTCCAGCCGCAGCTCGCGCTGATGCACACCCTGTGGTACCGGGAGCACAACCGCGTCGCCGACGAGCTCGCCGCGCTTAACGCTCACTGGAACGACGAGACCTTGTTCCAGGAGGCGCGGCGCGTCGTCGTCGCCGAGATGCAGCGCATCACGTACGCCGAGTGGCTGCCCGCGCTCTTGGGTAAGCGTAACTTCGACCCCAACTAACATTTTGCGCGGCTCACAAGGTATACTGCGACACACGACGAATGGTTCCCTAATGCCTCTATATGTCTCTATCATCCGCCTGGTGAAACCGCACGTAAAGGGGTTGAGTAGAAAAAATGTCTAAATAACTAAAAATATAATTTATATACCTGATGGAGTCGGTTTTATAATGCCAAAATACTATGAATAGATTTTTGTAGCAAATAACAAAATATAGGTGCAAGTAGTCTATTGATAAGTTCTCTGGTTTTATCAATTACCATTATGAAATGTGTTGCGATGTGCCGTTTATTATGACGCAGGCTCCGAGGCGAGCGCGAGGATCGCGAATTCTGCCGGCTACGACGCCGCCGTCGACGGCTCTGTGTCGAACGCCTTCGCCACGGCGGTGATGCGTTCCATGAAGTCGCTGTCGGACGGCGCGCCGAAATTCTACGGCGAAGACCGCGAGGCCAACGAGTCAATCTTCATCCGCAACTACTTCCACAACCCGTCGGTGTTGCGACAGGAGGGCGTGCTGGACGCTTTGGCCCGCGGCCTCGCCACCCAGAAGAGCCAAAAGCTGGACGTCTACTTCGCCGAGGACGTGAGTATAGTGCGCAACTTGCGCGACGACCGCGAAATCGGTTTCTGCGCAGTTGATCAACCAGCTGTACAGCAACGGGCGCTACGGCTTCGACGTGCTCAGTTTTGACGTGGAGCGGGGCCGCGACCACGGTCTGCCCGGCTACGCCGCCTACCGGAGGCTTTGCGGACTGCGCAAGGTTCGACGTTTCGCGGACTTTGCCGACTCCGTGCCGCAGGACGTGAGTTTAATAATAATAATAATAACATGCTTAATTTCATTAACATTTATCCTTAGAAATTATGGCGGTTTCAAATATAGCGAAAATAGCGAATATGATAAATATTGATTGATATTATATGCACTTGAGTAAGCGGTTATAACTGCGCAGTGTATTAATAATTTTCCTTCGGGTGTTTGGTATAATCTGGCGCATTCACCACTTTTTGATCAATTTTAAAAAAACTGTTGGGATTGGTACTGGTTAGCGTTATGATGCTACACTTGCTTATATGAACATCGTGAGTGATTGCACTTTTCTCTCTGCCTCTCTGTGTCTCTCTGCTTTGTGGTTCTGATCCATCCGGTAGTGGTGTGGTTCCGATCCATTAGACTTTTTTTTCCGGCGAATATTAACATCAATATTAATCAATAATTTTTATTATTACGTTTAAATTCGGCCGTTTGAACTGTCAACCATTTGAGATTGGCTTCCACCCCTAGGGTCCAGTTGCATAAGGTCGCAAGGTCCACCGTTGTGCCCGCGTTCCGCTGCAACACCGACCATCGGTCTGATCAACCTCCAACCACAATCTTTTTTATATTGACTTATTAAATGATTAGTAAATTTATTATTATTTTTTTAATGCCATATAATTTTAACTGAATTTTTCTTATGAATAAAACCAACTATTCGTGGTTGCCCCTTTCATTGCCAGCGACAAAATGCGCGGGCTCTTCGATTTCGAAGCGAAACATTTTTTTGTTTTAACAAAATAACACATCACACCATTGCTATAAATTGGGATTTACATGTTTGTTAAGTAACTACCTATATATATAGAAAAAAAAAAAGTAAACCAACTAATCAAAACCAGAAGCTAAGAATGCAAGTATAAGAAATTGTTACAGTGAACCAGGGTTTTAGTTAGTTTGAGGAATGAGGCAGGTCATATATATAGTCTAGCCCACTAGTAATTGAACGATCTTACAAATATAGCATACTATATTAGAATTAGAATTAAAATTTACAGATGTTCACGTCTGTCTCAAAACCTGTTTTTTTTTCTATGGGGTATTCATTTTAATGATGACCACGAAATATTGCTGCTTAATTTGCAGATTATTCCATTATTTACTAATTTTAATAGAATCTTTTCTTGACAGTATGCAGCCCTTTGTTGAATATAGAAGCTATAGAAGTCCAACAAAAATGTTGTTGTACCTCGAGGGTCGAATCTGGGTCCCTTACTGATTTTGATTGTCATTAACGATTCCTCTATTACATTAAATTTACCTCATTTGTTCTTTCTCTGATGACAAAGATACTTCTGAGAATTACTACGCTTTGCTCATGGCTCAGTGGCGCTCTGTGAACTTTTTATCGAGATAATCGTCTATACTATACGCCGAATGTAATACGTTCTCAAATTTGGTTGTTGTGTCATTCATTATTTTTCAGAAGAAATATACCTCACTTCCCATGTTGATTTAATTAAACATAGCCGCGCGGGTTTCAGCACATCGAGCTGTTGTCGCGGATCTATGCGAGTCCGCACGACGTCGACTTGTTAATCGGCGGCCTCCTCGAGACGCCGGAGCCGTCCTCGCTGCTGGGTCCCACTTTTGCGTGCATCCTGTCCGACCAATTGGCGCGCACTCGCCGTGCCGACCGCTACTTTTACGCGAACTCCGCCCAACCGAAGCCCTTCTCGCAAGAGCAGCTCGCCCAGCTGGAGAAGGTGTCGTTCGCTAGGATTTTATGCGACAACGGCGACGACATCCGGCGCATGCAGCCCGACGCCTTCGAAACGATCGGCGAGAGGTGCGTCGCGCGGTACCGACGCCAGAGGGCGCCACTAACTTTTGCGTCTTGCAGCAACTCTTTGGCGGCGTGCGACGACCCGGAGGCGATCCCGAGGCCGCGCCTCAGTCCGTGGATCGACTACGTTCCGATTTCCGTGAACGTTTGAAGCCCCGCCCCCGCCGTAGACTGACTGACCGAAGGCTGTTTGCTAGCTTATAAGTTAGGTTAAGTTCTCCGCGGACAGTATTCGCGCTACCCGGCGGCCCGTCCGTTTAATTTAAGCTACGTTAGCTTGTTCGTACTTATTTTGAAATTTGTACGTAACCATTGTTTGTTTTTATTAAATAAATATATCCGTTTTGAATGTGTGTCGTCATTGCTCCGGAACCATGACAAGTAATTTCTCGCCTCCGGGCATGGGTAAAAGCGTCTGTAATTCTTACTCGTCAAAAGTACACTTGGCGCATACGCCCTTTCTGATCATTTCAAACCGCGTAATATTCACCAACTAAAATCCGCTCGGAAATAGCTACAATGAGGCGAAACATATTGCTACAATGTTGATAATATGGCAACCTACGAAAAAAATTGCTGCGCTAGATTTAAAATCTCGTTTTTGATAATATACCGGCCTTACTAGAAAAATCGATAGATCTCGGGTGACTATGATGTTTTCGTACAGATTGCGACGCAGAATCGTAAACCTAGAAGGATTGGGATTCTGTGGTGGAGCATTGAACACGACGGTTTAACCTCCGTTCGCTCCCGACAGAATCCCTTGTTTTTGTCCTCAAAAGTTTGATATCGGTTTCCACTGTGTGGATTTAATGTTTTTAGTGTTCAGTGCATGTTTTAAAGTGATAATCGTCGTCGGCCCCGTCGTTTTTCCCCGTTCACGCCGGTATGGAGGCCGGATGGGCCCGGATGGTCCGAGGTGGAAGCGGGGGGAAGCCGATTTTTTATTGTATCGGTCAGAATCTTTTTTTGCTAGCTGAGCAAATTATTGGTTATTTTTCTTCTTTGTACGTGGTGGTCGTTTACCAGAAGCGAAGATCCTCGACGGAAGTCGGCAATGGGCGAATGATCCTAGCAGTCGAGCCCAACATTTTTTAGTGAAACGCATACTTGAGCCTAGAAGGATTGCCGAATCCCGTAAGACGTACGTTCGGCAAAATTGTCGATCGCACCTGGTCGCTTGCGACGTGAGCGAAATCCTCTAACGGTTTTTGTGTATTCTGTCAATGCGTTTGAAGGCGTATTGAACCGTTATATTTTGTGTTCTTTGAACAATTGAAATAATTTAAACTGTGCGCCTGTTTGTGTTAATTGTATTTCTGTAAAAAAAAACTTGGACAGAACAGTGTTCTTAACCTTTAACGAATACAAGCGAGTGGCGAGAACTGAGAAAAACAGTATTTTTAACCTTAAACAAAGACTTAAAAAAGTTTCGTGTTCGTGCTGTTATTAGTTAGGAAGTAAGCTTAAAATATTACACATAATAATATAGGTAAAGGTGAGAAATAAATTTCTTTTATCTTTTTGAGTGGGATAAGTTACATCAAAAAATAGTTACGTATGCCTGGAACGAAATGTGCCATGTATGGGTGCAATAACAACTATTTTGATGAAAAAGTAAGTTCTCGAAAATGTAGTTTTCATCGCTTTCACAAAGGGAAAGATCTAGTATACCGAACTATTCGCAACGGAACGAAGAGAGGAAAAACTTAATCCACTAATACTGAAAATGATTACGGAAGAGACTTATAAAATGAGTTATTAAGTTTTTTTTTGTCTTGAGTAACACATTAAATTCACCACAAAATTTAAATTTTAGGTTTACCGGTAAAAAACATTCTAAAAAAAGCTGCCGTTCCCACCGTATTATTATTTAACCAGAAGCCACCAACAGAAGCAGGATTATCTAGATCAAAAAGACTTCATTCCAAAAATACCAAAAAAGAAGCTCAGAAGGTGTTGTTTGAGCTTTTAGCAACAACATCGAATGCCACAAGTGAAATTTTAGAGAAAAGTCCATCTCCAGAACCCATGCCAGAACCCCAAATAATAAATTATAAAGTATGATACCCGCAGAAAAAAAATTACAAAGTATAAATTTTAAATTCTTTTTTTAATATGTTCTGTAATATATCCAAAAATAGGGATTTCTAGTTTATAAGTATTTGTGGGTTTTTTATATTTAAAATGGTAGAATGCCCTAAAGCACAAAGTAAAAGTAACAATATTTAATTAATATATGTATTTCAAGATAATACATGTAAGCCAAAATTAATTGCAATAGTATTATTTTTACCCTGTCTTGCATTTCACCCACTAACCTGCACTTTGCTCCATTTTCTTTCTACACAGCTACTTAGTTCCCCTTTGCTTGGGGATTTAATGGGATCTGGACATAAACTTATAACGAACTGTCAGCGGCCATGTTGGTTAAGGGCGAGATTTTTTTTCTCATTTTTTTATAGTTGCTTCATAAGTTCCTGTTTTAACAGCAGTGGCCAGGCTTCTATGTTTTTAATTTGTATCAATAAAACCTTAAGCAATTCCCATTCGAGAATCTTGGACAGATCGTCAATAAATAATACAGACGCTACTATTCTCAATAGCAGTAGCAGACTCGCCCACGCGAGTACGTAGGTAATACGTCACTCGGCGTTGCCATTAATGTTCGGCTTTCAGAGAATGATATTGAATTTTTAATAGTCAATTTTCTAGTATACCGATGTCGTAACTCAGTTGGCAGTGTCCCATGCGCATGCTTTAGAAAGTTTGCATGAAAAAGATTTTGTAGGAATAATACACTAAATATCTCAAGAGGCACGACATATAGACTACGCTGCGAACAGCATTTTTGTTTCAGAAATTGTTGTGCGAACGTGTTTATTCTATTGCGTGCTGGCTGCGTATTTGTTATAGCCGCGACAACAAATCTTCAAACGGGACGAAGCTGAGTTCGTTCTCGTCATATGATCATAGCTGCCATGATTATTGTAGATTAAGAAGAACGGAGGCAGTATTCAGTATTACTACAACAACTATTACAAACTAATTGTGGATCTGTCAGTGGCCATGTTGGTTGTTGAATGTCACAAGGTCATTGGTTAAAAACAATAATGCGCAAGTTGAATGGACGTTGAGATTAAAATAGCCAAGAATCAGTGAATTCGGAAACCAAATAGCGACAAACTGGGTGGCTCCATTTGTTCCCCGTCCGCTCAACGATCGTGAGGAGCGCGATCTGCACGCGAGATGGCGCTAGCGGAACGAAATGAAAAGCTTGCGGCGTGGAGTTTTTATTATCTCGTATAAAAAAGTTACATTCGCTTTCAAACAAAACGCGCCGAGCAAAAACGGCAACGACGATCGTTATAAGCCAAAATCCTGGCGGTACCGGAACCCGGCGACGTCAATTTTGCCGCCGCACAGCGAATTCGCGGTGTAATTAAACGTGGGGGTGGACAGAAACGCGTACTGGCCGCCTGCCGAATAAATCCTGTCGGGGCCGCCGTATTGGGCGTAAGCGCACTTCCAGGGTACCACGTATTGCACGTCCGGACCGGTCTGGTTCTCGTACGTGACCTGCTGATTCGGCTTCAGGGGCGTCGCCGTTCTGCCGCCGCCGGACTCTTTCTGTGGCGGCGCGCTGTGGCTACGCTCGTTGCGGCGGAATTTCGCGCGGCGGTTTTGGAACCACACCTGCACCCTCGCCTCGCTGAGGCTCACCTTCGTCGCCAGATCTTCGCGCACGAACGCGTCCGGATAGTGCGTCTTTTCGAACACTTTTTCCAGGGCGGCGAGCTGCGCCGTGGTGAACGTGGTTCTGTTCCTCCGCGGCTTTCTGTTCTGTTTGTCTTCGAACCCGAAATCTGCTATGATATTGGTGTCCGTTAAGTACCCGTCTACTAAAAGTTTATTGAGATGAAATTTAGAAAAGACTTTCGATCGTTGTTGAGAAAAGTACACAAATTGCTTAACCAACATTGAACGTGCACATTTTCGTAATTTCTGAAAATTTGATCCCCATTTCTGGAAAAAAGGCTTGCGATTATGTTTTTGTTATTCTACCTTTATACGGGGTGGCCACAAACATTCTTTCTAAACTCGTTTTTTTCAAATGGGAAACCCTGTAATTTAAAGTTCTATCAAGTCCAGACCTTATTTTTCTATGAAACTAATTAGGGTCGCATATATCCATTCCGAGCCATATTCGAAATAATTTGGTTTTTTGATAGTAGCGTATTTGTTTGACTGAACATTTTTTCTTCAGTTACACGTTATGATACTAGTAATAATTGAAGGGAAAATATTCAGTCGATACCATCAAGAAGCCTAATTGTTTCGAATGTGGGTAAAGTAGTTTGATGGACAACTGTTAAAGGTGTTTTATTTGGAAAAAAATTGAATATTTGCGGCCTAATTTTGGACACCCAGTATTAAAATACACAACACAAATTAGAAAAATGTCCTCTTAAGACTTTTATTTACGAGGTTAGCGCCAAAATTTCCAGGCCCGACATATATGCAGCTCCAGTATCACGATAAAACGTTGTCTTCTTTTAAACATATATCTTAGTAGGCTGCGAAAAAAAAAATTGAAGTCTTGCGTCAAATAGTTGACAGCATTTTAAACAAAACGTGTCCGAAAAAATGGCGCAAATAACGCAAATTGAGTATAGAGCAGTCATAAAGTTTTTGACAAAGGGAGGGTTAGCAGCCGAAATTATTAAAGCACGGCTGTGTACGGCCAAAATTCTCCTTTTCGTGAAAGAATGGGCAAAACGTTTTCCAATGGGGCAGGAGTCCTTTGACGATAATTCAAGAACTGGTCGACCAGTGGAGGTCAGATATTGTTGCGATTGTGGAAGAGATGGTATTGAGTGATCGACGTTTAAGGGTCAAGGAAATCTCAGAAATTACTAAGCTTTCTGATACAAGTGTTCGTCGAATCCTGCATGACCATTTAGGTATGCATAAGGCAAGATGGGTTCCTAAAAATCTTTCGGCTATTCAAAAACAACGCCGCGTCGAGTGCGCGCGGGCTTTTTTAGAACTCTGTGGGTCAGAACCGAAACCTGTGATAGAAACTATTGTGACGAGGTTCTCTATAATGGTCCTCTATCGAAAAAAGAATCAATGGAGTGGCGTCGTAAGGGTGAAGCACCTCCAAGAAAATTGAGAGTCTGTCAGTCAACAAAAAAGGTGATGGCCACGATCTTTTGGGATTGCGATGGAATCCTTTTGATAGATTTTAAAGAAATTAACACCACTGTCATTGGTAAATATTACGCAACATAATTACATAAATTGCGAGACTGCATACGTGTAAAACGTCGACGAAAACTGACCAGAGGCGTGCGTCCATACTGCTGGTGTTGCACAACCTACCATTTTAGAGTGTAGGTTCCAATAGATAGATCATCCTCCCTATAGTCCAGATATATCCCCCAGCGACTATTATTTGTTTGGATATTTGAAAAAGGACTTACGTGGGCGGCGGTTTAACGACGAAGTTGAGTTAAAAGAGGCTGTTTTAGCTCATTTTGCAGACAACCCAAAAGAATATATTTTTTAAAGGAATTGATAAAGAGATGTAATAAGTGTATTGAAGTTAAGGGGGATTATATTGAAAAAAAAATAAAAAATTGTTAGGTACTCTACTTTGTTTCTTTCATATTCAGGCCGGGAAATTTTGGCGCTGCCCTCGTAACATTTTGCCAAATGTAACGATGAAATTTGTAAAAACTACAAAAATATGCATTTTTGAAGTTGGCAAACCGGGAGGCACAAAAAGGTTAGATATAGAACATTAGATATAAGACCTTATATATAAAATATGTTTAAAATTTCACACAGAATCTCTAAATAGGATAATATATGTGGTGTTCCATTTGAAATAAGCAAGTTGATAGCAACTTCCGATTGAACAGGAGATTGAAAATATTTTGTAAAAGAAGTACACTTAGCACCCCAAAAATTAATGAACGACTTAGGTGGAGACGTAACCTAATGCAAATACGATCTTTTTTCTGCAATATGTTTTTTTAATTTTATTTAGTTTATAAGTTTATAGACATTATCTGTCAAAAATTATGCTTAATACTCTCAACTAACAAAAATACAAAAACTAAAACATCCAATTCCAAAAGAAAACTTCCAACAATTTGGACACACATACTTATTTCTAAATTTCCATGGTACATTTAGTGTAAGTGTATGTAAAAACTACCATGCTGCAAAACTGAGGATTTTTTTTTGGTACACCCCGTATATGACTCGGGAATTTCCTCATTAAATTCATAAATTCCGATGTTTTCGGATGTGCAGTCCGAAAGGGCCTTTACATTAAACATTAAAGAACTTTTTGATAATTGGGTAAAAAAATTCTCCTCTTCAAAATATCAGATTACCACCTTATCACTGCGACTAGAAGTGATATGGGCCGAATTAAAAAAGTTAGACGCAATAATATAAGCCACGAATACAAAATACAGTTCTACGATACGCAATCCCACAAAATGTATTATGTTTCAATTGCTTTACTACTACCCAGGACCATTTTGATATACTGGCCCAAAAATGCCTACTAGCAGGTAAAACCGTTAATAGTATTTTTACAGTGTGTCGAACTATACCTACCGAGGTGTTAATAGCTTCGTTTGTGGGGTTAACTAGTTCCCCCATCGGGCGCCTCCCCAGGTGGCGGATCGGGGAATGCCTCCCAGATATGGGTGGTACCGGGGAAATGAAATACCCGGGGCGGACCAAAAACTAGTGAAGCGTCTGTTCTTCAGGTGAGAAGCGGCTTCAAACGACGTCTGACTCCATGTTAGGGGCGGTCGAGAACCAGAAGGAAAACTGCAAACCCTTCAGAAGGCAACGGGAAACCACTGAAGTATTTTCCCAAGAAAACTACATGGAAGAAGTTGAAAGTGAACGGCCCTCAGTCTCCGTCAAAAATAAATTTAACATAGGATCATGGAATGTGCAAAGCCTGTTCGAGGCTGGAAAACCCGCAAACACCATCAAAGAAATGCGAAGACTAAACCTAGCACTGTTAGGAATATGCGAAACAAGGTGGCCTTCCTCTGGACGTTGCATTACTGACGACGCAGTATTTTACCATTCTGGCAACGAAGATCAATATCACAGACACGGAGTTGGCATTATCGTGGATAAACACCTAAGCAAGGGTGTAACAGATTTTATACCATACAATGATAGAACAATGCTACTAAAAATTGAAGCAAAACCAATAAATATCAATATAATTCAAGTATATGCCCCCACCCTAGACAAATCCGAAGAAGAAATTGAATACTTCTATGAGGACATCAAACAGCTCCTAAAGTACACGAAGCCGCATGATCTGAACATTATCCAAGGAGATCGGGGGAGTGGTTGGTCCTTGGGGTCTGGGAGAAAGGAACATTAGAGGAGACAGACTAATACAATTCTGTCAAGAAGAACATTTTAAAATCATAAATACTTGGTTCTCCCTACCTCCGAGAAGATTGTATACCTGGAGGGCACCGCAGGATAGACCTGGAAATATTGTACGGAATCAAATCGATTTTGTCCTCGTTAACAAGAGGTTCAGCACAACCGTCTCAAGAGCGCAGACGTACCCGGGCGCCGACGTGCCATCCGATCATTGTCTTCTAACGATAAGCATAAAGCTAAAACTAGCTTTGTGCAAGGTCAACAAAGGTCAAATAAGAAAATTAGACACCTCGAAATTACAGCAGGAGGAGATAAAGTCTGATCTTAGGAACAAACTAAACCAAAAATTGAAACAAATAAAAGACCAAACAGATCAACAACCACTGGAAGTATGGGAAACAGTTGAAACTACCATAAAGAACGTCACAATCGAATGTCTGGGATATGAAAAAAGACGCAGCAAAAAGAAATGGATGACTGACGAGATCCTACAACTAATGGACAAACGCAGACAGCACAAGAACACTAATCATGATGAATACAAGAGACTAAACTCACTAATAAGATCCGATATTAGAAAGGCTAAAAGGAAATGGCTGGAGGGGGAGTGTAAGGAAATTGAATACTTGCAACAAATACACAATACGCGTGAAGAACACAAAAAGATGAAAGAAGCATCTGGAATGTATAAAAAACGATCTCCAGGAATATATACCGATGACACAAACAAATTCATAATAGAAGCAAATGAAAAGAAACAGCTGTGGGAAGAATATATCACAGATTTATTTGCCGATGATTCTCGTGAAGGCCTAAAAGACAACCAGTTAAGCGAATCATTATCAGGGCCACCTATATTGAGGGAAGAAATAAAGAAAGTGGTTATGGGAGGTTTTGAAACTGATAGATGACGACAATATCGACGTATTGCTCAAAATATTCAATTATATCTACAATACAGGACACTTTCCCCGAAGCTGGTTAAGATCAACTTTTATACCCCTACCCAAGAAAAGCAACGCCCGAAAGTGCAAAGATCATAGACTCATAAGTCTGATGAACCACTCCTTAAAAATTTTCCTCAAAATAATACACAGGAGAATACAGCACAGATGCGAGAAAATTATCGGCCCTAGCCAGTTTGGATTCAAATCAGGTATGGGAACACGTGAGGCGCTTTTCGGACTCCAAGTCTTAATACAAAACTGTCTAGATGTTAATAAGGACATATTTCTATGTTTCGTCGACTATGAAAAAGCTTTCGATCGTGTACAGCATTCAAAACTCATGCAGATTTTGAGAAAAACCGACGTCGACGACAAGGACATAAGGTGTATCGAGAGATTGTACTGGGGTCAAACAGCTAATATTACCATACAAAACATTATTACTGAAGATATTGATATCCGGAGAGGAGTTAGACAGGGATGCGTCCTGTCTCCATTGCTTTTTAATTTATACTCCGAAGCGATATTCAACGAAGCTTTTGAAGAACAATAGTTGGGAGTGAAAGTGAACGGAATACCAATTTCGAATATCCGATATGCGGATGACACTGTCCTCATTGCCAATGATGTTGAGGAACTACAGAGAATGTGTACTAGGTTATGTGGCAGCAGCAACGAATACGGGATAAACATTAACGCCGACAAAACCAAATTTATGATAATCAGTAGGAAAAAACCAATGTATACAGATGCCACAATTCAGATAGAAAACCGAAATATAGAACGAGTAACACAGTTCAAATACTTAGGATGTTGGCTGCATGCAGGATGGAACTCGGAAAAAGAGATTAGGTGCAGAACAGAGATGGCACGTGCGCCATTCATGAGATATGAAAAAATCCTTAGAAATCGAGACCTGCACCTGTCTCTTCGGGTCCGATATGCAAAATGCTATGTTTGGTCGGTACTTTTGTACGGAGTGGAGGCATGGACTGTGAATGTAAAAATGATCAACAGAGTGGAAGCCTTCGAAATGTGGACCTACCGACGTCTTCTGAGAGTCCCGTGGACGGACAGAGTAACTAACGACGAAGTACTAAGAAGAGTTCATAAGAACAGAGAACTACTTACAGCCGTAAAACGCAGGAAAACGGCCTACCTCGGACACATTTTTAGACATGGTAGGTATCAGTTGTTACAACTCATATTAGAGAGTAAAATAGATGGCAAGAGAGGAATAGGAAGGAAACAGATGTCATGGGCAAGGAACATTAGACGATGGACAGGTCTAAAAACAATTGGGGAACTTGTCAACGCGGCAAGAGATAGAGACCAATTTCAGCGTGTGGTCGCCAACATCCATTAAGTGGATAGGCAGCGTGATGATGATGATGATGTGCAATAAATGTAGAATTTTAACTTCTCCTTTCGAATATCAGGCGATCCAAATAGCTAATGCAGTTCTAGATGATGAGCAACCAAAAATTTTGGCATCTACTGAGAGACCTTTAGTGTTGGACTTTGCTTTCTGTAAGTAGCCGCAGAAGTTCGTAATTTCCGTTGGTCTTTGATTTGGCATTTGGCATTACAAATTCCAAATTTGTTACGAGTTTTAGGTAGTTCTGACATGGATAACATTATATCTCTAACACTATGTCTCTCAATGCCCTAGATACTTCTGATAGGTCATCGAGAATTACTCTCTACAGGAACTTTGCTACAGGTCGAGATTTGTCGAACAGTTGTTCGGTCTCGGCTGGCGCGTATAAATTGTCGAACCGTCGGAAAGAACATTTCAAAATATAACGCCCGAAAAGTCGTGGAAAGGATTAACTAATTTGTTGTCGGTTTCGTTCTCGGCCGCCACATATAATTTGTCAAGCACCGGACGCGTTTGTCAACCGGATGACTTGAAAGCAACTGGGGAATCGGGGCCAGTCCATATACAAATTCGAGCCTTCGGAGACTGATAGGAAAAACGGGGTTCCTTAATTTCGGGCAACTTTAACGTGTTCGATGAGTTATTTCGAGGAAATCTGGAAAGATTTCGATTTTCTTTTCCCACTACAAACATAACGGTTGTCTCAACAAAAAAAAAACAGAAAATTCCACTTTGTTATATTGTTTTATTAAATTTGTTATTATTTGTTTGTTCCGCTTTAATTGTTTTTTTTTTCACTCAAACATTTTAAGTGATCAAAAATTTCGCATTAAGGGTTTTGAGCTGAGTTTATGAAAAGTCATAAACTTAGGAAGTTATTGAGTTTGATTGGTGGTCGTGGATGTAATGTACCCCGTTTGTTTAACCCATTTTGTCCCAGCGGTGTGTTAATGCGCCTATGCATCTATGCACCTATTCTATGATTTTTTTTGTCACATCTAGGATATATTTTTGCACATCCATGTAGAAACTGTATTATTATCACTACTAAAGGACATAAAACCGTAGAAATCGCTAATTTATGTGTCAAGGAAAGATCTAATATATAACTTCAAAAGTTAACGAAAGCGGTAACATTTTCAAGTAAATCCAAAATAGTAAAAAAAATATTTTGGATTTGTATTTCCATTTTTGTTAAGTCTATACCATGTAGATTACATCGCAGAAAACATACATTGGAAATATTACATTGATTATGCTTTATTTTTTAAAAATATTTACTGGTGCTTGAATGCACCACTGGTTTTACCTGTGAAACAAAACTTTGTTATTGCAAGTCTAGACAAGTCGGCGCACGTAGAATAATAGTATTAGTTTGTGCCTTGTGCAGTGAACGTTACAGTTCGTAAAATATGGCATTCCCGACGTATTTGACTCAAAAGGAATTAGAGGCGGCTTTGGAGGAGATCGCGATGGATGAGGACAATAACAATGAAAGTAACAATGAAACGACAGGCTTGCTTCTACTGCCAAATGGAAGAAAGGTCAGGTTGAGTACACTCACACACCTATGTCCGATGAATTTAGATCATGTGAGGAACTAAAAAAATAGGCTTCCTGGAAAACCTCCGCTTGAAATATGTTTTTTGATGTCGAAGTGATTGATTTGATTTTAAATCTTACATTGCTTTGCGACTTTTACAAACTGATAAAACAATTACTCAAAGAAATCTTGCACCTGCCGTAGATGAGGTGCGTTATGATAATCAAGGTCACCTCATGATAGTGCGTGCGAATAAAGCCCGAAGGAGATGTACAATTTGCCACAGCCACACAATTTACGTTTGTAATAAGTGTAATGTGCATTTACATACTTCGTGCTTTGTAAAATATCACCAAAAATGAAACCGGGTGTTACCAGTGGTGCGCTCAAGCACCACAAAATACTAGGCGTTTTTTTTTTGTATCAAATCAGGTGCTATTTGGAAAACAATTAGGTATTTTCAATCAAGCTAGATAAGTAACTATCAAATGTTTCTTTAAATATGAATCCTCAAGCTGTATTAAATCTGTATGGAGTCGATTTTTTGCAAAATTTCAACGTATTAATGGACACCCTGTAGTGTCATTGCTTTATTCGTATTATTGTATTATTTTATTCGTATATCTGGGGTATTATATATTTAAAAGAAGTAGTGCCATCTCTTTGTTATTTAAGAAATACTTAATATTGCCAACAAATGGCCTAATGTGGCCAGCTTTAAATTCAACAAGAATTTATACGGGCGTCATCTTAAACTTGGAATATCTCAAAAAATAAGTAACATTTAAATATAAGACAAATTACAAATTTACCTAATTTTTTCTCCTGAAATTGATAGATCTGGATAAAAATATAGTGCGTTCCATTTAAAAATATTGAGGTTTTGTTATTCGTTGGTTAGTTTCCACTTTGCTTTAATAATAAAGTGTGCCTCGTGTCTTGCCCCGATTTTGATCATTTTAATTTAATTTAATTTTACAATCAAAATAATATAAGCAAAATGTCTTGGCCGCGAAACATCAGAACTACAAGATATACATTCCATAATACAGACCGCAAGAAATAGAAAGAGAAAAAAGATTGTGTAGTAGATCAATAAGTGTGAGGCTGGAATTTGAAGTTTACTTCGAATTTGCAACGAAAAATAAGTCACCTTCAGCGTCGAGCTCAGAATCGCGACGCTTTCCGCCGAGCCTCAGCAAACTGCTGACCGAAAAATGTCTGGCGTTGTTGGACGTCTTTGGCGCGTCGTACTGTTGTCCATCGGCGGCTGCGAAGTGGCCCGGAGGCGGCGGCGGCGCCGGCGGCGGCAACGGCGCGTCGAAACCGCCAAACATCCCGAAGACGACACTCTGAAATCGCTCTCGACCTCCGTCCACCCTTTCGATACTTTTGACAATCACAAAGACCCGATTGATCGGTATCGATCACTTCGGCAAACTGCCGTCCGATTTGATTAGGCCACGCGACATTCCGAATTGATATTAATTGCCGCGGATCTTGTAATTTAATTATATAGAGGCGGGTTCCGTGTCGCATACTGAAACCGTTTTCGGCTGAAATTTGCTGAAAACGGGCGGACCCGCACCCGACCCCCACCCGAACGACTTAACGCGGTGGGCGGAGCCCGGCGACCCGATTTAAGTCTCCCGAAAAAATCACGGGATGCGTCCGCCAAAACCCACTATGCCCGGTATCCAGCCGGAGTACTCATTCGGGATAGTGTCGGACATAATCGTATTATCGATATTCGACTCGTATAGTATATCGTACATGCTATTAACGTTTTTATCTGGTCGTAGCCATTTTTAAAAATGAAAATGAGTTTCAGAGAGTTGTACGAGAAAGGAGGGAAGTGCCGAAGGTGATTTTTATGGTAGTAAATACGCGCATGCGCAGTATTCATTGTGACACTACAAAAGTTGCGTGAAAACTTGTCGTTTAATTGTTTACCTTTTATATCAAATATTTTGGTAAGTTTTGCATAAAGGTCATGTTCTCTACATTGGATTTAAGTATTTGATGTATAGTTTTAAAACAGCTTATAAGCTGTATTTTGGATTTTCTATCGATGAGCGAGAAAAAAGTTGGTTGCCAAAAGTATGCTGCAATAGCTTGAGGTTGGCTTAACGAAAGTCACAAATGTTGGGGAATTTTCTCTAATATTGCTACTTGGGGACGACAGCCGCTACGGCCGGGATCGGGGTAGTAGGCCTAGCGCGGTTATGAAATTATTGGTCCTCTAATTGGTCGTAATTTCTTTGACAGGCCGAACCGACTCCAAATGTTGCACGGAAACAGGGAAGCGTCCCCTTAATGGAGTGTTTACAACTTTTTTCGACGGTTTCGCCGAGTCAATTAAATTTTATGGCGTTTGCCGGTAATTAGGTATTGCCGGCCGCCGCCGCCGCGCGCCCATCTTAAGTGGGTGTCAGATTTTCGATAATTAACGGGGAATCTAACCACCGCACACCGGATCTTATGAATATTAAAGATAGCAGCAAATTTTCAATTGACGTTATAATATTATTGTTATTTTTATATGTCGTCTCTATTGTTCATTTTTGTCAAAACTAAAAACATGCAGTGCTCCAATAGTTAGCTTAAGCTAGTCGAGGTTGATATACTTGATAATATAGTTGAGGTCATTCGTCGCGATCTTAATCGTATGATTTTAGTATTTAAATTCCAATATCCTCTAAAAAAAGTACTTGTTACTTACAATAATTAACGGAAAGTGAAATTATGCGTGAAAATATAATTCACCCCATCTTTGTTACTTCATTGCTAAATTTATTATTCTCCTTTTAATAACGTTTGTATTTAATTCTGGATGATCCATATCGACAATTTTAGACTTAAGTAGAGTTTAAACTCGTAGCCATGCTATTTATGAGGAAAATCAATGGAGTGTACGGTTCAAAGTTATCATAATTTTAGTTAAAATTTATAGCTTTTTTATAAAAATAAATGTGATAAAATAATAAACAATAATTACAATAATAAACAATAATTACAAAAATAAAGTATAATAACAGTGACAATTACACAGGTCTACAAAATTAAACTTTTTGAAAAAAGGAGAATCCTACTTAAAAAAATCCCGTTTTAACATCCAGCCGTCATCATCGTTATTCTTTAGTATCGCCTTTCCATTTCCTGAATATCCTAATGAAACCTCTCTCCCTGTTCTTCCCTAGCTGCTGCAAGATGACTGATCATCAGTCATCTGGCCAGTGCACTTCAGTCCATGGAAAAGGCAGATTCCTATGTTAAAAATTCAGAACATTGCACTCAGATTTTAGGTTCTCTCAGGATGGACAAGGACGACATTATGGCAAGCTTCGATGTCAAATCCCTGTACGCGAGCATTCCAATAGAGGAGGCACTCCTGCTTAGAGAAGAAAACGAAGATCTTCCGCCGCACATAATGGACACTGCCTGAAAAATGCCTTCTTTATGTACAACGAGAAGATATACCGACAAGTAGATGGAGCAGCAATGGGATCATCTCTCTCACCTGTGATTGCTAACCTCTTCTTGATCTACTTTGAAAAGAAAGCAATAGGGAAGGCAAATCTGAAGGCAAAACTACGGACAAGATACGTTGATGACATAATTTGTTGTGTGGCCTCTTGGCAAGAAGGAGCTTTTGAAATTCGTAGAACATCTGAATTCCATTCACCCAAGGATCCAATTTACAATAGAAGTTGAAGAGGATAACAGTCCGCCCTTTTTAGATGTTCACATCACCAGGACCGGAACACACTGTCTATAGAAAACCAACACACACCAATAGATATCTGAACGCTAAATCTTATCACCGCCATCACAGATATAGGCAGTGGCAAATACATTAATTGCTCGGTCGTTCAAGCTCACAAACGAGAAGAACGGAGATGACGAACTGAAGAAAATTAGCACCTGTCTTTGACAAAACGGATGCCAAAGGCGCATCATCAGCAAGACAATCGGCAAACAACAGCAGCCGCAGTAGAGAGTGCGGGACGAGACCCAACGAAGATCGATGTCCTGACATACATCAAGGGGGTTACTGATAAAATCGAACGAATATTGCGGAAACACGGCATATCAACGGCATACAAACCTGATCATACCGTCGGAGCAATACTAAGAAACCCAAAACAAGGAGTGTACAGTGTAGCACGCGGATCGTGCAGCCTGTCGTACGTGGGACAGGCCAATAGAAGGACATCTGCTTGGTTTTAGCACCAACACCAGACATTTAATTTTAATATTTCTGATTTTAGAGCCAGGATTATAAGAGAGGCCATCGAGATAGAAAAGTCCGGACACCTGAATACGAGAGACGACGGTCTGCGTTTATCCAATACGTGGAGAACGATAATCAAACAGCAGAGCGATACGCTGGGGTACTGAGGAGGGTGGCTGAGGAGAGAAAGGTCACGTTGGTCTGGGTTCCGGGTCACACCGGTGTCCGGGGCAATGAGGCAGCGGACGCCTTAGCCAGGGAGGGCTCCTCGCATAGGCATATAGGGCCAGAGCCCCGCTTGGGGATCGCCCCGTGTGTGAGGCGGGGAGCTCTCGAAGCCTGGGCGAGAGACCGGGCCGCGGGGGGCTGGAGAGTTGCTCCGGGAATGAGGCAGGCGAGGCTTATGATGGATGGGCCCTTCCTCGGACCAGGGAGCTGCTTAGACTGACCAGGAGGGAGTGTAGAGCACTAACAGGGGCCTACACAGGACATTGCAGGCTTAGGAGGCATCTCTGCTGGCTAGGCATTGGAGACGACCCGGAGTGTAGGTGGTGCATGAAAGGGGAGAAGACCCCATATCATCTGCTCACCGAGTGCCCTGCCTTGACATGGGCAAGATTGGGAGTCTTCGGAAAGGCCCTGATCGATCCGGACTCAGTGCACGGTATTGGGCTAAAGGAGTTACTGACCTTCTACAGGAGGGGCGGCATTCTGGACGCCCTCTAGAGCGGCCTGGGGGCACAACGGGCCCATCTGGTGGTCTAAGTACTTGGACGCCCGCGAGGGCGCCCCCCTTTAATACCAATACCAATACCAATACGCTCTGAAGAAGTAAAATTCTGACGGACATTTATTTTTTACTAAGAATATATTTTATTTGTTATTATAATTATAATTTATTATTTTATTAAGTAACCAGTGGAGGGCTTCAATAAGAAATTGAACCTAAAGTTGACCCCGCAAGATTTAGGTTCTTCGTTCTGAACTCAAAACTATCGCATTTTGCACACTTATTTATACCACCATCGCCTAATCTAAGTTCACTTTTGAGAGATGGTATTCGAACTCGTTCCATAGCGCGCAGTCTTCAAAGCAGTCGCGTTTTTAACGGTCGCACTGTTGTCTTTAACGCGGCCCCACCAGGAAACCGAACGACAATGGCCTGCGGGGCATCTGCTCGAAACCGACTCCTTTGTGATCGTGTTTCCCGGATTATCCCGTAGAAATCGGTCGACGCGACGACGACGCGTCTCATTCAGGTCATTTTTCGACGTCCGAGGAGGTCCGAGATTGTCACGTGTGCGAATTCCGGACAAACCGACTCCGTTCCGGTTAAATTGGGCGCGACCGTCCGTGGCGGACGGAAACGCGGCACCAAATTGCCCCCGGGACGGTGATTTAGTGCCCTTGCGGCGACGTCTATTTTCGGTGCCCTTTTATCAAAAATAGCGGTTTACGCAATTGCGACCAATCAGCCGAGCACTTCGTCTTGGCGCGCGCGCCCATCCGTCTTGTCTTTCGCGCTAAATTTATCGCCGCTTGTATAGCAAAACTTTTATACAGTTGGCAGCGCAGGACCTTCTTTTTTTGAAAGAGAAATGCCCATATACAGGGTGTTTCAAAGGTCAAAAATTTCGGTTCAGATTTTCACGAAATTATACATTTTCACATGACAATTGTTTCGACAACATGGTGCAAGACTAAGCAGATAAACATCGCCAGTAAATACGACTCGGAAAATGAGGATTTTTTAAACCAGACGGTGAGACACCTAACAAATTCGTAGTTAGGTGGTATCAGAAACAAAAAAGAAGCCCTCGAATCAATACTAGATAATCACGACGGCAATGTGCTGTGTATCTCAGAACATCATGAATCCTCAGACATTAATCTTCTTAAGCTTTTAGATTATAAGGTTCTTAGTTATTTCTCTAGAACTAGTTGCAGAGGAGGGGGAGTCTGAAAGTTTAAATTTTTCGAAAATCCTGTTTAATAACTCTGAAGAAAAAACTTTTGAAATGAGTTCAATAAAATTAGAGCTTAACAAGGAATGTATCACAATTTTCTCTGTATACCGATCTCCAAAGGGAGACTTCGAAGCATTTGCAGAGAAACTCAGAACACAGAAGAAGAAGAAGAATGAGATAATGAACTTTGCTCGTAGAGACTCGTCTTTTCGCTTCTCGTTTTCTGCTACGAAATGTTCTAATCGCCCTGTATACACTTGGCGAAAAATATCAGCCGGCCCCGCACGCGCCCCCGACATATTTAATTGATCATTGGCGCGGGACCCGCATCCACGCCGACTTATTTACCGCT